GCACGCACACACATGCGGTCACACACCGCTCTGCAGCTATCGTTATGAGAGAATCGACTTCGCCAGGATACATCCCATTGTTTTGGTACCTGGCAGGTGGCAACTTTGGTGACATATACCTGTCTGTATATTCGGAATAAGAAAAGGTTCTAAAGCAAACATACACGAGTCCAACTAAAATAAAAGTGTGTACATCGTCGTGAATGTAAAGCGCCCCCGAGTGGCGTAGTTCACGCTGATCACAAAGCGCAGCGGCGTGGGCAGCCTGCGGCTCTCGAGCGCCAGACCGCTTTGTGACGTTTTTTTTATTAAGGATCCACCACCACCACCACAGTGCATTGCGGATCTAGAAATAGAGGATTTTTTGGTTTGTTTACTACAGAACTCGAAGAAAAAGCATCTCCTTGTTCTATTGGTGACCGTCCCCTGTGACGCGACACGCACGGACAGAAAGCCGTCGGCTGCCGTGCGGGTTTACGCTGCTCCACGCGTGTATGGATGAGGGGTCCCTGGAACGTCGTTCATCATCCATACGATTCGCCACTGCCCGGCGGGACGGCTGCCACCGCACTCCCGCCGAGTGGTCTCGACAAGGCGGAACGCCACGAGTCGGGTCGGGGTGGACGCGATAGCCACGAAGCACGGCAGGAGCCTCGTGGCGCATTTGGACGCAGGCGGAGATAACTCGCCCCCCCCCCCCCCCAAGAGGTCCGCCCGCTCACAGAGCCACGAGACCCGCGCGCCCACGCGGCGCATTCGTCGTGGCGACCAACGCACATGGCGAGGCCTTTCTGCAGCAGTGGATAGAGCATGGTGTGGTTGCCGTTTATGGCCACTTGGCCCATGGTGACTCGTGGCCAAACTTACCTGACGCCTGACTCACCTCCTCCGCGCCGACTGCTGCCCCCTGCTGTTGGCTGCTGCCCGCTACTGTCGTTCTGCCCCCTACTGTCGTGTACTGCCCCCTGCTGTTGACTGCTGCCCCCTGCTGTCGTGTTCTGCCCCCTCCTGTCGTGTACTGACCCTGCTGTTGACTGCTGCCCCCTACTGTCGTGTACTGCCCGTTGTTGACTGCTGCCCGCTACTGTCGTGTACTGACCCTGCTGTTGACTGCTGCCCCCTGCTGTTGACTGCTGCCCGCTACTGTCATGTACTGCCCCCTGCTGTTGACTGCTGCTCGCTACTGTCATGTACTGCCCCCTGCTGTTGACTGCTGCCCGCTACTGTTCAGCTTGTTCGGGAGCTCGAGGGAAGGGGGAGTCATTGGGAAGTTGTCACCCATAAAGTCACGATGTGGTGTTTTGTGTAGTGTGGCTGTGTGCAGTGTGGTTTGGCTGATGGTTGCGAGCTCGAGGCGATTTGATGCCTCGTCAACGATGGATGCATGGTCACGATTACATTAAAAAAAAAACTATTTGATTTATCATTGTGAACATAGCAGCCACTAGTGGTTGCAGGGGTCAAGCGAATAAAATACTTGCAATACGTATGAACAAAAAGTGTAAATTCTGAGCACGCGTGATCCCCGCGTTTGCCGTGCGCACGAGGTCGATATGGACCGACTGCTGACGCGTCGCTCAACCTGCAAACGTGAACCTCCACAGAGTTCCCCGTGGAGCGACATTGAATTTCAAACTTACGAATTAATTTTAGGATTCAAAAGAACGTTAACACTACTTGAACGCATGATTACAATTACGACGCCGTCATTTATCCAGGAAGGCTTCGCCAAGTCTCAAGACTTGTCAGGAGGGCGCCGCCACTTTGGGATCTTTGGACAAATTCCACTGATGGAGATTTTGGCTTCTGGCGGGGAGCGGTGGTGACGTGGCCTCGAAGTGACACGCTCTCCGCTCCTCGCAGAAGTTCGCAGTTCGGGGAGAGTGGCCGCCCCCGTTTAATACCGCGGTATGAACGGGAAAAACAACCGTGCATCGTCTCGCTCCACTCACAAGTGGACGTTAAAGATCCCGTGACGTCACGGGATCACAGTGGCAAGACCCTCCTGGAAACAGTCGTGGGACTGTGAGGATTTCCCAGATACACAAGTGAAATAGTTTTATCGCATAAGTGACTGAATAATAATATAACCTGGAGAAAGCCCATGGATACACGGGGATAACAGTTATCTCATGGCTACCTCAGAATTAATGTTATGGCAATGAACACGAAGTCTGTGAATGAATCAGAATATTGTCTGCGAATGAGGGACGTCAGACTGTTCCACAACTGCGCAGGTTTCCACGGGCGAGCTGGACAGCTCTCCCACGCCTCTCCGAGTCGCACCGCGCGTTGTTCGGCACCTGGTTCGACGTTTCGCTCCACATGCTGGAAGCTTCTTCTAGAACGTCAGACATGGTGCCGAAGACCACGCGGTAAGGCCCAGACAAGCGTGGGAGAGCTGTGGCCATCGTGCGCACCGTGGCAGCGCCACACACCCACACCTCCATGGGATCCGTGGCCACAAGGAGGAACCCGCGGGGACAAGCGCAGCAAGCACAGCAGGCATCACCCAGCGGGCGGGAGGGCGAGGACAAGCGGGCGAGTGGTAGGATGATTAAGTGGGCGAGTCGGAGAATGGGTGAGCGGGACGATGAGCGAGAGAGTAGGGGGATGAGTGAATGGGTGAATAGGATGAGTGAGCAGGTGAGCATGAGGATGAGTGAGCATGAGGATGAGTGACCGGGCAAGTGGGGGGGAGAGTGGGCGAGTAGGGGACGGGCGAGCGGGCTACAGGCGTCATTCGGCCGGGTTTTGCGGGCGCCAGGCGGTGGAAAGGTATCGGCCGTGGAGCACGGAGAGCGAGGGGGGGGGGCCTGGAGGGAGTGGCACGGAGCTGGAGCGAGAGCTGGCGCTGGGGGGCAGCTCCCCCCAGGACGGCAGGAAGAACCTGGGTCGGCAGCAGAGGAGGAGGGCGGGAAGAGGGGGGCATGGGGCAGAGAATGCAGGAGCAGAGCACGGGGGCAGCACGCAGAGTGCACAGGCAGCACAGACCACACGGGCAGCGCACGCACACAGCACCGAGCATGTCGTTGTCGGAGACAAACTTGTGGCGGCCAAATTGTAAAATGGAAATCCCCCGCTTTGTGGGCCCCAAAATAAAAAATGTTTAAGGTTTTAGATTGTTCTCGCCACAAGCCAACCATGAATTTCACGTCCCTATCTCTTCATTACAATTTACACCACTCCCTCGCGTGGGGGCCGGCCACACACGTGTGGCGAGGGGTGAACACGGGGCAGAGGCGCGGACACGAGCGGGCTATGCGTGAACGCGTACGTGTGGAGTGCGTGAACGCGTACGTGTGTGGAGTGCGTGTAAGTGAACACGTACGTGTGTGGAGTGCGTGTAAGTGAACACGTACGTGTGTGGAGTGCGTGTAAGTGAACGCGTACGTGTGGAGTGCGTGTAAGTGAACATGTATGTGTGTGGAGTGCGTGTAAGTGAACGCGTACGTGTGGAGTGTGTGTAAGTGAACACGTACGTGTGTGGAGTGCGTAAGTGAACGCGTACGTGTGTGGAGTGCGTGCGCGTGCCTGAGCAGAGCAGTAGTGTGACGGTTCGCACCGGGCGCCGGCCAATGCCGGTGACTATCGTATAAACCAGTCCTGGGCCACCCTTATGTCGGCTCAGCCCGAAATGAATACCTCATGCGGGGTATAAGCATCAGCAATGGTCGGGTGTGGTGCTGGAAACACCACCCCTTTGTGCGTTATGCCGGATTTAATAGGTGCTCACTAATTTGCTCCAAAGACTACATTGACACGTGAGGTTTCACAGTATATTTGTCAACTGTAACAGCAGTTTTAGGCAGTCACCAAAACAACAGAGTAGGAAAATGCAAACTCCCGAGCAAAAAAATATCAGTCACGAAGGCCTAACCTCTGACCCCAGCCTCTTTCTATTTGCACCGTCTCCTCTTCCACCTCGCCCCCCCCCGCCCGGCAGTGATCCCCACGGGTGCCCCCCACACAACTACACCTCCTGCCGTCCCCTTCACTCGGACTATCGACATCTTCGGGTACCGTCGGCGTCCGGCACCTGAGGAGTTGGCACCAACTGAAGATTTCTCCAGCGGTCCCTCTATCAGCCAATCGGTGCCCGCAGTTATCCTAGTGCCAACCTCTGGGAGATGGGGTTCTGCATGGGAGCTAAGACGCTGGTGCCGCCCACACGGGGGTGTGCACGTGTGTGGTGCCCGTGTGAATCTGGAGTGTGGCCAGGTATGGCGCGGAGGGCGGTGTGAGGAGGAGAGCTGTGAGGGGGGGGTGGGGTGGGCGACCTCATTAGTAATACGCGAGGTTGCGCTCGCTCTTAGGCAGGGGCTGGCGGTGTTGGGGAGGGGAAAAGGGCGGTCTCACGATCCCGCTCCTGTGGGACAGCATGCAGCCAAACAAAGCAGCACATGTGCGTGCGTTAGCGCCCGTCGGCACGACAACAGGCGGCGGACGACGCGCGACGTATGGGCGCGACGCGGAACAGGCACGCGCACACACGGGAAGCATGCACGGCAAGCTCAGGTAGGAGGCGGACACAGTGACGGCAGCAGCAGCACGAGCGTTCGGGTACATGGGGCCGGGTAAAATCCACACGGCAAGTCTCGGCACCTCCTCCACTCCCGGCCCAGAACCTCCTCTCTAACCTTCCCAGCTCAAAACCTCCTCCACTCCACCTCTGTCCAAGAACCTCCTCCTCCACTCTCTGCTCATCTTAGGACCTCCTCATCTCCGGACCTCCACTGCAACCCTTCTTAAGACTTGCCACACTCGGCTGTTTCCAAAACTTCCTCCACATCCTCCTCATCCCAGAACCTCCTCCACAGTCCTCGTCAAAGGACCTCCTCCTCCTCGTCACCCTGCTCACCCCCCAGGGCTCGCGTTTCCCAGCAGTGATGGACTCGTAAACTGTTGCAGGGAATCGCGCGCGGGCCCACGCTGCGTGATGCTTGACGCACTACGTGTGGGGGTGCGGTGATGTCGGCAAACACTACGCATTCAGAATATAATTTAAAGGTGCACAATGGGCAACTTTTATTTGATTTTGTCTTTAATAAGTACATTCAAGAAAGATAGTGCGAGTCAATCGTAACATCCCTTAACGGACAACTTAAAAAATTACGACGATAATGATGACGACGATGATTACAGTGATGATGTTTTTACAAGAGATGAGGTCTGAGCGGAGGAGCAGAGTTGCGTACACAACACGAGGAGGAGTCTCTGGTCATCAACCGCTGCCGTCCCCTCTCCGCTCATCCACCGGCGCCAGCGGGATGGCGTGCGGCCGGGGAAAGGCCTAGCGAGAAGCCTTCTCGAGGTCAACGAAGGGGACACTGCCACGGTTCCCCGTGCCCGATCCACTACCACCGTGAAATGTTTTTTGTCGACCCGCAGAGTAAACCGGTGCATCTAACTCCTGGGCGAGACGCCAGCTACGTGTTTGTTCCCGCGGATTTTATCCGGCCCCGTTGACAAGAGCGGTGCTTGGGATGAGTCAATTGTTGAGTCAGAGTTGCTGGGGTGGGGGGGGGGGGTTGGGGGAGGGGCGGGGGGTTATGAGACAAAGCTGCTCCCTCCGTGGGGGCAGGGTCAGTGTTGGGGTTGAGGGGGGGGGTCAGGGCTCCGGTTGTTTTGTTAGGGGCGGTGCTCGGTCCCGCAGGCGCTCAGAGTAGTTGGGCAAACGGCTCGGGCAGGAGGAGGTCTTGTTAGCTGTTAGTGCACAACAGTCGTCACAGTCACACACGGGCGATCGCAGCTCACTCACTCTCCCACACACGGCGCCTTGCGCGCGCTCACTCTCCCGTTCGCTCTCCCGTTCGCTCTCCCACACACGACGCCTTGCGCGCGCTCACTCTCCCGTTCGCTCTCCCGTTCGCTCTCCCGCACACGACGCCTTGCGCGTGCTCACTCTCCCGTTCACTCTCCCGTTCGCTCTCCCGCACGCGACCCACCGCATGCTGCTCATTCGTTAAACAGAGTTGTTACGCAAGGACGCGATGAGTAGCGCAGCGATGTCAGTTTGCGACCGTTCGCTCTGTGACCCCGTGGCCAGACTCGATGACTCCCACAAAACATTTGTTGGGTCACACGAGTTTAAGGCCACCGTGTGTCACACGTAGAAACACACACTGTGACACACGGCCACATACAAACTAACTCGTGGTAACACGAGCACAATGTCAGACACGAGCACCATCACATGCAGACATGGATATACACACGGAAAAAGATCACCCATATAGCCTGAACAGACTGTTGGAGCAAGTGCTGTTAGCAAGTACCTATGAAGGCCGGAACAACACACGAGGGGGTAGTGTGGCCAGCACCACGCCCAGCCACCTTTGTCTCACCAGAGTTAATATTTGCACACCGCACCAGGTACTCATTTAAGGTTGAGTAGACATGGACAAAGACACACGCACCACCACGAGCGGACACACACATACCCGAGCAGTAACGAATCTCTGCCCTTACGAATCGACGAATTGCCACGCTTTGAGCGCAGCGAAGAGTCAAGTCAAGAGTTCACTACGCTTAACAAATCCGGTGAACACGTGCACCTCTAGTGGCTGCCAAGTTCACTCCCCCCCCAGGTCTCACCTCACAGCGGCCGCCCCGTTGACTCCGCCGCCCGGCGTCCCCGCGGTCGCCCCCCCGGGGAAACCGGCCCCCGCCAGGGCGGGCAGCTGAGCGCCGCCGGTGAGGCCCGCGGCGCCGGGAACGGGACTCCCGTCTCCCTTGAGCACCGCGATGCACTTCCAGTTGCCCAAGTAATTGGCTGCGTGGGATAACGATAGACGGGGGGGAGGAGGAGGGAATTAGGTGGCGTAACGCCGCATCGAGCGTTAACATGAAACGCATTCGGCTCAGTCTCCTCTCCGGCCCGGACCGCGTTCGTTTAGCCCCCACCTTTGTTCGGACAAACCAGAAGCTGCTTGGGCACACGGTGACCGGGCACTCACTCACTCGCTCGCGTACAGAGACACGCGCTCACGTAAACAGGGACAAGCAACGATCCCCCGTGCAGCATTACAGCGTGGTGGGGCAATTGCTGTTAGCGAGGACGATATTAAGGCTGGGACGGCAAACGTAGTGTGGCCAGCACCACGCCAGGTCAGCTTGGTCTCCCCAGTAGTGATGTATACAGTGACTGAAAAAAGTATTTGATCCCCTGCTGATTTTGTACGTTTGCCCACTGACAAAGAAATGATCAGTCTATAGTTTTAATGGTAGCTTTATTTGAACAGTGAGAGACAGAATAACAACAAAATCCAGAAAAACGCATGTCAAAAATGTTATAAATTGATTTGCATTTTAATGAGGGAAATAAGTATTTGACCCCTCTGCAAAACATGACTTAGTACTTGGTGGCAAAACCCTTGTTGGCAATCACAGAGGTCAGACGTTTATTGTAGTTGGCCACCAGGTTTGCACACATCTCAGGAGGGATTTTGTCCCACTCCTCTTTGCAGATCTTCTCCAAGTCATTAAGGTTTCGAGGCTGACGTTTGGCAACTCGAACCTTCAGCTCCCTCCACATATTTTTTATGGGATTAAGGTCTGGAGACTGGCTAGGCCACTCCAGGACCTTAATGTGCTTCTTCTTGAGCCACTCCTTTATTGCCTTGGCCGTGTATTTTGGGTCATTGTCATGCTGGAATACCCATCCACGACCCATTTTCAATGCCCTGGCTGAGGAAAGGAGGTTCTCACCCAAGATTTGACGGTACATGGCCCCGTCCATCGTCCCTTTGATGCGGTGAAGTTGTCCTGTCCCCTTAGCAGAAAAACACCCCCAAAGCATAATGTTTCCACCTCCATGTTTGACGGTGGGGATGGTGTTCTTGGGGTCATAGGCAGCATTCCTCCTCCTCCAAACACGGCAAGTTGAGTTGATGCCAAAGAGCTCCATTTTGGTCTCATCTGACCACAACACTTTCACCCAGTTGTCCTCTGAATCATTTAGATGTTCATTGGCAAACTTCAGACGGGCATGTATATGTGCTTTCTTGAGCAAGGGGACCTTGTGGGCGCTGCAGGATTTCAGTCCTTCACGGCATAGTGTGTTACGAATTGTTTTCTTGGTGACTATGGTCCCAGCTGCCTTGAGATCATTGACAAGATCCTCCCGTGTAGTTCTGGGCTGATTCCTCACCGGTCTCATGATCATTGCAACTCCACGAAGTGAGATCTTGCATGGAGCCCCAGGCCGAGGGAGATTGACAGTTCTTCTGTGTTTCTTCCATTTGCGAATAATCGCACCAACTGTTGTCACCTTCTCACCAAGCTGCTTGGCAATGGTCTTGTAGCCCATTCCAGCCTTGTGTAGGTCTACAATCTTGTCCCTGACATCCTTGGGAGAGCTCTTTGGTCTTGCCCATGGTGGAAAGTTTGGAATCTGATTGGTTGCTTCTGTGGACAGGTGTATTTTATACAGGTAACAAGCTGAGATTAGGAGCACTCCCTTTAAGAGTGTGCTCCTAATCTCAGCTCGTTACCTGTATAAAAGACACCTGGGAGCCAGAAATCTTTCTGATTGAGAGGGGGTCAAATACTTATTTCCCTCATTAAAATGCAAACCAATGTATAACATTTTTGACATGCGTTTTTCTGGATTTTTTTGGTGTTATTCTGTCTCTCACTGTTCAAATACACCTATGCATTAAAATTATAGAGTGATCATTTCTTTGTCAGTGGGCAAACGTACAAAATCAGCAGGTGATCAAATACTTTTTTCCCTCACTGTATATACCACCACACCAGGTACTTATTTAAGGCTGCGTCGACCCTTGTATATCCATGGACCAGTTCAGCAAGTAACTACTGATGTTAGCTGTGGCTGCAAATTAAAGTCGGGATTTGGGTTTGCAGTGCAGTGTGCCAACCACTGCGCCACCATTCCTCGCTATTGCGTTTTTTTCTGATACACAGACACACAAAAGCGAAGGCTGCCACCTGTCCTGGTTTTCCCAGGACGTCCCTCTTTTTCTGCTGTTCTGGGAATTCTGCAAGTCTCCCCAGGACTTTAGAATAATAATATTAACAATAATTTCCACCACTCAATTTCCCATTATTATTCTTTTTGCGATGCCTCAGGGGCAGAAACCCGAGCCGCACCGCTCCGGAGCCACTCACCCTTCCAGAGCCGTACGCAGCCGTCGTCGCCGGAGGATGCCAGCACGGTGCCCGTGATGTTCCAGCTCACGCGCCACACCTGCGAGTTGTGGTCTTCAAACTGCGCCGCGGAGCGAATCTCGAACTTGCTCACGCTGCCCGCCGCGCTGTTCTCTCGCCTGCGGAACCGAACCATCCACCAAACAATCTAGCCATTTACCCAACAATCCATCCAACGATCCATCCCTCCCCATCCAACGATCCATCCCTCCCCATCCGACGATCCATCCCTCCACTCAACAATCCATCTCTCCGTCCTATGCTCCATCTCTCCGTCCTAAGATCCATCACTCCACCCACCGATCCATCCCTCCCCACCCACCGATCCATCCCTCCCCATCCAACGATCCATCCCTCCCCATCCAACGATCCATCCCTCCCCATCCACCGATCCATCCCTCCCCATCCAACGATCCATCCCTCCCCACCCACCAATCCATCCCTCCCCATCCAACGATCCATCCCTCCCCATCCAACGATCCATCCCTCCCCATCCAACGATCCATCCCTCCCCATTCGACGATCAATCCCTCCCCATTCGACGATCCATCCCTTCCCATCCGACGATTCATCCCTTCCCATCCGACGATCCATCCCTCCACTCAACGATCCATTCCTCCCCATCCAATGAACCATCCCTCCATTCAACGATCCATCTCTCCATCCAACGATCCATCCCTCCATCCAACAATCCATCCATCCAATGATCCATCCCTCGATCCAACAATCCGTCCGACGATACATCCCTCCATAGACGATTTAAAAATGATTTCAATCCGGCCCACTTAACAAAAACGCACTTTCGAGAAAGCACTGTCGCCTTGAAAGGAAATAAATATATAAAGGCATAATTTTATGCAATCGCCCTTCTTTATAGCACAAACATAGAAAAGCCAATCAGGCTTGGAGACTGCACTTAACACCGTGGGCCCCGATGAGAATAACATTTAAAAAACTTTTCTGACCTCTTTTTAAATGGGCATATGAACCGAGACACCGACAGCAGTAGCTATCGGCTCACGATGCACACGTCGCATCTCGTAATTAGAATCAACACTCTCTTCGTCGCGTGGAGACACATTTAAGCAATCATCAGGCGGGTACGGTGTGTAAGGACGTAACTCGTGTTTTAAGGGGGACAGTTGGGAAACGTGGCCGGTCGCCGGGACCGGAGGTTTGGAAACCCGGTGTTTTGGGTTTGACGCAACCGGACTCTTGATTCGCATCTTGACAAAGAGGCTCGAGGCACGCGGCGAGCTTACTCGGCTCGCTCGCTCGGGAGAGCCCTGCCGAGTCTCACTCTCTGTCCAGAAGGTCCTGCCCAAAGTGATCAACCGCAGCGATACGGACGTTTCAACCCCAAAATCAAACATAAGCAACCTTTAGCCAAAGGTGCGAACCAGCCAATTCCACTTCCCGAACCGGGTTTGTTGACGCACACCTGTGACCCAACACTTGAAAGGCAAGGGTTGACGGATCACACGCAAATTTGCGAAACTGCCAATACCCGCTGCTGGGCTGCGAGAAGATGGCAGTGTGGCAAGTGAGTTTTTGTATCCATCTGTGCGGAGCTTTTGAGTGTGATCCCCCTCCTAAGTATGCATGGTGAGTTTTCTCCTGGATTTGTTTCCTCCCACATGAAGCCAAACGAATGGGATTTGTCAAACATGCCATCGTAGAAGCAGGACCCTTCGTGGGCATTTCCCAGTTTTCAAAACTATCAATTCACATTTCCCAGTATAGTTCGAGAGTGGCGTTTCCAGTAAATACACCAACAGATTCGAGTAAACAGTGCAGGGTCGTGAGGCCTTGTCGACCCGGACATTAATAAACATCAGACATGCCGCGCACCGCTAACGAGTTCCCAGAAGCGGCGTCTAAATGTGTCTCCTGCAGCAGCGGCTGTCGGTGACCAATGCACAATGAGCTGCATGGAACATAGTGAGGGGAAAAAAAAGTATTTGATCCCCTGCCGATTTTGTACGTTTGCCCACTGACAAAGAAATAATCAGTCTATAATTTTAATGGTAGGTTTATTTGAACAGTGAGAGACAGAATAATAACAAAAAATCCAGAAAAACTCATGTCAAAAATGTTAAAAATTGATTTGCATTTTAATGAGAGAAATAAGTATTTGACCCCCTCTCAATCAGAAAGATTTCTGGCTCCCAGGTGTCTTTTATACAGGTAACGAGCTGAGATTAGAAGCACACTCTTAAAGGGAGTGCTCCTAATCTCAGCTTGTTACCTGTATAAAAGACACCTGTCCACAGAAGCAATCAATCAATCAGATTCCAAACTCTTCACCATGGCCAAGACCAAAGAGCTCTCCAAGGATGTCACGGACAAGATTGTAGACATACACAAGGCTGGAATGGGCTACAAGACCATTGACAAGCAGCTTGGTGAGAAGGTGACAACAGTTGTGCAATTATTCGCAAATGGAAGAAACACAAGAACTGTCAATCTCCCTCGGCCTGGGGCTCCATGCAAGATCTCACCTCGTGGAGTTGCAATGATCATGAAAACGGTGAGGAATCAGCCCAGAACTACACGGGAGGATCTTGTCAATGATCTCAAGGCAGCTGGGACCATAGTCACCAAGAAAACAATTGGTAACACACTACGCCGTGAAGGACTGAAATCCTGCAGCGCCCGTAAGGTCCCCTCTTGCTCAAGAAGGCACATATACATGCCCGTATGAAGTTTGCCAATGAACACCTGAATGATTCAGAGGACAACTGGGTGAAAGTGTTGTGGTCAGATGAGACCAGAATGGAGCTCTTTGACATCAACTCAACTCGCCGTTTTTGGAGGAGGAGGAGGAATGCTGCCTATGACCCCAAGAACACCATCCCCACCGTCAAACATGGAGGTGGAAACATTATGCTTTGGGGGTGTGTTTCTGCTAAGGGGACAGGACAACTTCACCGCATCAAAGGGACAATGGACGGGGCCATGTAGTGTCAAATCTTGGGTGAGAACCTCCTTCCCTCAGCCAGGGCATTGAAAATGGGTCGTGGATGGGTATTCCAGCATGACAATGACCCAAAACACACGGCCAAGGCAACAAAGGAGTGGCTCAAGAAGAAGCACATTAAGGTCCTGGAGTGGCCTAGCCAATCTCCAGACCTTAATCCCATAGAAAATCTGTGGAGGGAGCTGAAGGTTCGAGTTGCCAAACGTCAGCCCCGAAACCTTAATGACTTGGAGAAGATCTGCAAAGAGGAGTGGGACAAAATCCCTCCTGAGATGTGTGCAAACCTGGTGGCCAACTACAAGAAACGTCTGACCTCTGTGATTGCCAACAACGGTTTTGCCACCAAGTACTAAGTCATGTTTTGCAGAGGGGTCAAATACTTATTTCCCTCATTAAAATGCAAATCAATCTATAACATTTTTAACATACGTTTTTCTGGATTTTTTTGTTGTTATTCTGTCTCTCACTGTTCAAATAAACCTACCATTAAAATTATAGACTGATCATTTGTTTGTCAGTGGGCAAACGTACAAAATCAGCAGGGGATCAAATACTTTTTTCCCCTCACTGTAAATTACGTCAGCCTCGCGACCCCCACTGCCCCGTCTCCCCCACTGCCCCGTCTCCCCCGTCTCCCCCACTGCCCCGTCTCCCCCGTCTCCCCCACTGCCCCGTCTCCCCCACTGCCCCGTCTCCCCCGTCTCCCCCACTGCCCCGTCTCCCCCACTGCCCCGTCTCCCCCACTGCCCCGTCTCCCCCACTGCCCCGTCTCCCCCACTGCCCCGTCTCCCCCACTGCCCCGTCTCCCCCGTCTTCCCCACTGCCCCGTCTCCCCCACTGCCCCGTCTCCCTCACTGCCCCGTCTCCCCCACTGCCCCGCCTCCCCCACTGCCCCGCCTCCCCCACTGCCCCGCCTCCCCCACTGCCCCGCCTCCCCCACTGCCCCGCCTCCCCCACTGTCCCGTCTCCCACTGTCCCCTCTTCCTATGTCCTGTCTCCCACTGTCCTGTCTCTCTGTTCTCTCCCCCACTCTCCTATCCTCCACTGTCCCATCTCAAAGGTCTAGGACTCATCCCCATGTACTCTGTAACCATTTCTCCCCGTCTCTCTGTGCTTCGTTCCGCGATCCAGCACCATGACCTTGTGCCCCGTCCCACAACCCCATACTCCATCCTGTGACCCCACGAAACCCGAGTGACCTCGTGCCCGTGATCACGTCCCGCGAGCTTGTGTGCCATCCTGTGATCTCGTGCTTTGTCCCGTGACCCCGTCCCCGCCCCACACCCGTGCCGTGACCTTGCGCCTCGTACCGTAGTGGCTTGAGTGTGAAGATGCGCACGTCTCGTGACGCGACCGTTAGCAGGTGGTACGAGCGGCCGAGGTTGGGGGCGAACGCCAGATCGTGCACGGATTCCGTCACCATCATCAACGTCTCCACCTTCATGTACTTCCTGGGTCACGGCGGAGTGGGGGAGAGGGGTCAGTGCAAAAAAAGGGCAGCATCGTTAGCACGGATGGTTCCGGTCACAGTCACAGGAAACAAGGGGAAGCGCCTGCTGCTGCTCTGATAGGTCATCGCAGGTCAGGGTCGCCACGATGCGACATCCCTCCGGGAAGTCCAGCAAATCGTGGGAAACGTGCGCCTCCCCATTCTCCAGGACCTCAATAAAATCGCACGCGGCAAATTCGTAGCTTCCATCATCCACAAAGATTCTGGGGCACCACCTCTAAACCGCATCTGTTGCACAAACCATAGCAACAGATGTACCACCTCAATTTAAAATGACAGCTATTGCTCTACATCAACCATATGAAGATAATGTAGTTCAGTGGCTCTCACGCTGTGGTACACGTGCCCCTGGGAGCACGATTGATAATTTTAGGGGGTACGCGAGACAATTCACGTAATGGCAGTGGTCACGTGGGGTATAGTCACGTGGGAGTAGGGTCACTGTGGGTACAGTCAAGGGGATAGGCATGCAGCAAATCCGTGTCTCGGCCTTCCCCCGATCCTCCTTTCCATCATGTCAATCCCTATGTTTATTTTACAAACGAACAAAATTATGCAGGAAATTACTGTCAGAAAATGCCTCCAGGCTTCCACATCCAGTGAACCTCAGCCGAGCCCCTCTGCTTCATAGTCTACAGTAGCGGTATAAAAAAAAAACACTAAAGAGTAAATATTCTACTTTGAATAGCTAGGTGTTATTAAGTATTAACAAAATGTTTTTGGTGTTGATTACACCAGCACCGCACATGCAGATAGGGGTGTACAGAACTGCTGATATGTATAGCAGGGGGCACATGACAAGCAAAGAGATGGGAACAAACTGATCTAGGCCCTTGGCCTCTTGGTCCTCTTGGGCCGCTTGGGCCTCTAGGGGCTCTTGGGTCTCTTGGGCCGCTGGGGTCGTTAACCATTCCCCTGCAGTATTCTATCCACTGCTCTGTCCATCGCTGTCTTAAAATCGCGATAACTTCCATTGCGTCACCATCAGCAATGCACGATCCACTGCTGGATGCAGGCCTCCCCCAACCGACCTCAATCTCTTTACGGCTCTGCAACGTAACGATCCTTGCGGGCTTTCCGCATTTTAATTATGAACCGGCACGCACTGTGGTTTACCACTCACAGGTTTCCCGTAATCCTACTTCCCGTTTCCACTGCCCTGCTACCCGTAAAGCGCTGCCCCACTTGCTGTGTCTTGTTGGTAGCTGCCTTACTCGCTGTTTGGTTGGTAGCTGCCTCACTTGCTGTTTGGTTGGTAGCTGCCCCACTCGCTGTCTGGTTAGCAGTTGCCCGGCTCTTCAACAGGAAGCGTATGCGACCGTGCGTGCGCGTACACAAGCGCGCGGTCTCATTATCTGCGTCCATCTCAAACCGCGCAGGTCTCTCGTCTCAACTGTGCAGACTGAACGATCCACCCCCGACCCTCTGCCGCCCACCCCCCTGGTCCACCGTGGAGCCCTCGCCGCGTCGCCACATGCCTCGTGTTCTCGCTGTACTCGTAGATCTGCACCTTCCCTCCGCTCGACGAGGATCCGTCATCACTGCCCACCGCCAGCATCGGCGGGTGTCCCCGGAAACTGCGGAGGTAAACACGGCGAGGAGGGGGCAGGGGAGCAGAATCAAGGGCTACACGAAGGATGTCTTAAAAATGCCTTGGTAACTCAAGAGTGCCTTACGTTTCGTCTCAATCATTCCAACGCACCGCTGTAGTTATCTCCTAGGGAGCCCAAAGTGGCAGCTAATGCAACACAGGCCTACAAGTGGGCATTATTCTGCCAGTAGCAGGTGAAAAAAAAGAACATTCGAGAAGAACAATACAAATGAGATGGCACAGAGAATAAGTTTTTCCCCTTTTATCTGGCAACAAAACAGGTGTTAAGTTGTTAAAACACCAAACTGAAACCTTTTACAAGGAATCATGTCTGCATTACCCACAATACTTGTGGTCAAAATGCAAACAAAAAACTCTGATAATATATGCATTGTCTTTGAAACTGATTGGTCCACACCAGAGATGGCACAGATGTGAAACACGATGCCATACAGTACAAAGCAGACAACACAATCCGAGTCGAGCGATACAGGTGAGATAGAAGGGACAGAGAGGAATCGGTATGACCGAGACAAACGAAAATCCACCCTCAAGCTAAACCACTGCCCCCATGTCACGACAATTCAAAGAATCAGTCAAGCCAGGGGGAGACGGGTAGGGGCAATCGTTAAATCATCAGCAATCGGTTCCCGTTAACTCTTGAGGACGCAGTACCTCCATCGCCCCACCCCGCCCCTTCTCCCCTCCACTCCTCACCTGGATGGGTTCCAGGAGATGCAGCTGCAGCTGAGCTTGCAGGAAATCTCGTGCTGCAATGACCACTGGCTGAGGTTCATGACGTCGGGTGCCTCGTACACGCGCACCACCCCGTCCGCAGAGCAAGAGGCCAGTACCAGACCCAGGTGCTTCGGAGCGAACTTGACATCCGTCACTGAAGTGCGGCTATCCACCAGCGTGGTTCGCTTCACCTGAGGCAGACAACTCAGTCAGGCTTCAGCTCTCGCAAAGGGGGAGGTTGCTCCTTCTCCTCTGCTGTACCCTCGCTGCCTCGAACGACCTCCCACTGGCCATCCACGCTATGGGTTCTTAATGTTAATGGCCAAGCATCAGAGGGAAGAACTAAAGCACCCTTACGGTTTTTAGGGTTTCAACATTAGTGTGCGGAAATTAAAATGAAGCCAGTATCAACAGTAGGATAGCTTTGCAAAATATAAAGCTTATAATAACAACAGCAACAGTACTTTATGTAACCTTCTCCAGAAATGGAAAATAAAACTCTCTCCCAGCAAACAATCAGACACAGCATAAACTCCCGTCCATTACAAGTGTTTACGGAAGGTACAAGCAACACCCACTCACTATCTTCTGAAGCCATCAACTGGATTTAAAATTTGAAGACAACATTATAATCACTATTAAAGCGATTTACACACAAAACAAATGACCCACTCTACATGGATGGTTGGCCACACAGCAGACCACATGGAAACTCCCACGCCTGCTGGCCCGCAGTTCACCTCTCTTTGCCTGAAAGGACATTTCATGCATCATCAGCATGATCAATCCACTGCTGGATGAGGGCCTCTACGAGCCAGAATGAAACAGTGTTTGCGGGCTCCATGCGTTTAAATTACAACACGAGTGGAGGTGCCATGGGCGTATGCTGTGGTTTCCCATGCACAGGTTTCCCGTAATCCATGGGTTTCCTGTTTCCCCAGCCCCCCTTCTCCCTGCGAAGGGCTGTCACATACGCAAGAGGCAGCTCCCTATTGGCCTAAAAAATACATTTTCATATAATTTGTGTATGGTTCCTACGATCACCATCAGCCATGATCAATCCAGTGATGGGTTAAGGTCTCCCCAAGCCTTGATCATCTCTCAGCACTTACACACAAGCTTATTTTATCACTCCATGTCCTCGGGAAACATCCTCTCGTTGTGTGTTGTGCGAATCGCAAAATATCAGAATTGCGCGTCAAGAGCGTTAAGAGTTGATACGAATCCACGAATATGTGCGGAGTCACACCAATTGGCTGCAGTTATGAATTTTAAACCGACCGTCACACCCCACCGCTTCTTCTTAATATGGTTTGGGAAGCAGTGATAGTTTGATGTCGAGGTTAGCAATCCATTCAAAAGCTTCAGGTGAGGTAAAGTGGTCGTGATGCCAATGGGAATGGATCTCTCAGGGCAGGAGTTCAGTATGTGGGCGATTGTCTGATTTGGGTGGCCAGTCACAATTTGGGCTGCTCCTCATGTACCACTTGTGAAGCAAGTGGCCGCATCTTCCCTGGCTTTTCCTCAAGCGGTTGAGGGTTATTAAGTTTTCCGTGGAAGATCAATTACCAGGTTGCAATTTGTGATGTTTGCAGTTAACCAGGAGTTGTGCCATCAAGAGGTCAGACTGTTATTAGTTTGTAGGGTTTGGAGTGTATTCAAAGTCACCGATACCACCCTCCCCCCCATCACCGCCAACTCACCCAGTGGCTCTGGCTGCGCTGCCGGTCGTTGGACTCCCCCACGATCTCCTCCCACACGACGGCCGTGCGGTCGAACGAGCACGAGGCAAGGAGCTGCCCAAACTCGGGGTGGGCCCATGTGACGCGCCACACCGAGCCACTGTGCGTCTGTGGTGGTGTCAGACACAGCGTCGCGCACCGTTAAACTGCCACGTGGTCAGGGCTGCTTGGCTCTGCGAGAGATCCGAATGGATACTTCGGCTCGTGAAATAATGCCGATCAAAAAATCAAACCAAGATTTGCAACGTGCTACATTCAGCAAAAATCGGAGACTGAAGCACGGACGGTGCAGGGAAAATGTTACCGAATTAAACAAATGAGAAAATAAATGTTTTTAGTTGGTCTTAAAAGCACCAATTGTCACGGCTGATCAGACTTCAGTTGACAGACTGTTCAAGATAACCGGGGCTACAGATGAAAAACTAATTTCTGCTGCACTTAACCCAGTGGATTTCACAAACAGCAGCAGGTCCACACCAGCTGAGTGCAGGTTTTGTGATGATACATATGGGCAAATGTCATCGTTCAGGTAGGCTGGCTGACCATTTATTTTTGCAATTACGATTAAATTCGGGGGTAAACAAGCACGACCAGGGCTTCATTTCTCCCTGACTATTGTCTCAGTCTTTTGTGAACTGGGATTTTTTCATGGGAATGAGTAACGATGATGGATGCTTTTTACCAGGGTTTAATGTATCACTAAATCTGACACTGGACAGTCCCGACTGAAATTAAGACCTGGTTATGGTAAAAACACAATACAATTAATGTATAGCCTTTTCCAATCCAGTGCTGGATGAAGGGATCCCCACGCCTTGTGGAGTTGCACTATGCTGGTCAGTGATGGTTGAATGTAGGGAGCAATGATGCGGACGTGTGGATGTACAGTATAACATTTAAATTTGGTACACTGCCTATCTTTCATGATCTGATGAGATAAGGTACATTCTGAGTGACATAATCATAGACATACACAAACAGTTGGCATATAACAATGCAGCAGACACAAAGTCGTGGGGCATCTACAGGTCTGCCTGACCCTGCAGCTCAGGTTGACCTATTTTAATCTGTCCCCAGCAGGGAAGCGAGACACGTACCTTCCAGCTTGCCGTGCATTTCCACTCTCCGCTCTCGTTCCGATCCCACACCTGGAAGACAGCGCCATCACCGTTAGAACATTACTGAGCCACAGGTAGCTGGTTGGCTCAGTGCCGAGCTGTGATTCCGTGCACCAAGTTGATGTAAGTTTATGGTCTCAGCCCGATAACCAACAAGTCTTGTACACAACCCATTCTTATTACATTTGGTTCTGCACTTAATTTGACAAAATTCCAGTTCTGAGAATTGACCATCATGTGACAAACTACTCTCATATGCACACCGGGTTGGAGAGTGCTGCCCCCTACTCTGTAGACCAAAGGTCACTTGCAGGGATCTCACAGAAAAATCTGTGATATTTTTTCATAAGTTTCAGTTTATTTATTTTGGTATAGCCCTGTGAGCCATTCGGCTCTTGAATCGGGTGCAACCACAACAAACAAAAAAACAAAAACACGAACAAGAAAAACATCTTAAAGTGACTATGTGACTGTGCAAACAGAAAATCCATGAAAAAAACAGCAAAATATTCCTGAAAAAAGCACTGTACACCAACGCTGTGTGCAAAAAATCCCAGTGGGATGCAAGTCAAACAACAACCACAAGAAAACTTAGATGAAGGCCATCAGTCTAACTCCATACTACAACAAAACAAACATGTCCAAACCAAAAAACTTTTCCAAATCACCAAAACATAAAGCCATAATTGCAACGTAAAAGTGATCACTGGGACTGTGACCGAATTTTTACAATAAACTACATAAATAATATGTAACACCAAATCCTAGAGCCATAGCTGGCTGCATGAGTTACTCCACAACAACAGAAGCATCAGTCGGAGTATCAAATTTTTCAATGCACCTTTAAGATCAGCACGCTAAATCAAAATACAGATAATACTTTGCAGCGTCATCCGGAGCGAAACATTTTATTTTATTTTACGCCAATGAATAGCAGTGGCAGCTAGGGGTGTACAGCTCCTCTAGAGCAGTTTTGAGGGAAGATCTCATTGGTAGCGATTCAAGTAGCAGTTTATTGGCAATAGCATTCCAGACCCTGGGGGCATCAATAGCAAAGGCCCTTCCTCCAGTTTTTGTACGGCAATAGGGAATGTGAAGCTGGTAAATGAGCGAAGACCAAAGGTCAAATTTGTTCTTTGAAACAGAGAGGAGATCCAGCAGGTAGTCTGCGGATTTTTTTGTATCCATTTCTGTAGGCCGATCTTTAACATGAAGGAATCATAAAAAGCATACAGATTCGACAATCAATAACACTGTCCTAAATGGTCCTTCTTTATAGGACATCGAAGAGATAATGTGAATAATAGCGGGAGGCTGCATTGTGTACACTGTAGGGCCTCTATATTAATGTAATTGTAAGAATGTTTTCAGATAGTGGCATCTGTCCTCCGTTGTTGCCGGAGGGCGACTGCCTCAAACTTCCCACGAGCGTCCTTCACGAACCCTCCTCCATAGAGTCCGATCTTGACACCGCTGGAACCAGTCATCGGCAAGTGCACTTAGCTCCAGGTCTTTCTCTATCACACCATCCCGTATCTTCTCTAGCCCGTACCGCGCCCATTTAGACCCCTCTATCTGACCAAACAGATGCTGCTTGGGGGCATGCGGGCTACATGACCCAACCAATACAGCCTGCCGGAGGAGCTCGCCGATTATAGGTTATGTGTCCAGATATTTCAAGGATCTGCGATCTCCTCACACGACCCAGCCTGGTTTAAACCCAGGATGCCGTCGTAGGCAGACCAACTTGAATGTTACGTTTTCACGTGGTTCCATAAAGGTTTACACACATTCACACGTGTCGACTCGTCCGTCCAACAACAACACATTTCACATGAAGACTAAAGCCTTCCAGAACGTGTAAATCGGCACAGGGGTCGCGTCCTGTGACAACAAAACACCCGCGCTTTCTTTCCCCTTCACGCGGCGCGGCCTACGGTATCGCCTAGCGGGCACCGCCGGCCCGGATCGCACCGAGTCCCCCCAGAGCCGCTAGCACCACCACCGTCTCCCTCCCTCCCACCACGGGGCGGTCAGGTCAACCCGATCCCGCCGCGTGTGCCATCGCCCTGCTCGCCGTGCCTTGACGCTCTGGTCGCTGGAGCAGGTGGCGAGGCGCTGGCCGTGGAAGTCGTAGGAGACGTCGTGGATGAGGTCCTTGTGCTCCGCAGCGATGCTGCGCGCCGCATACATCGCGCGGCCTACACCGCAACGCTCGCGCTCAGCGACTCCGCGATTCCCGTGCTTCACTAGCTCCTCCGTCGATTCTTAAGGCTGCACAGTCCTAGTCTAGGGTGCTTCGATTCGTCCAAATTCAATTAACAATCGATTCGATTTCTTTATTCAACTAATAAAGGCTTCATAGTCTTGGTTCTTTCGGTAAAGTCACGTAGAAGGGAAACAATAAAATAAAAGTATTATTAAAATTGTATTTTATTTAATTTTTGTTGTTTCCCTTCTACGTGACTTTACCTAGAGAACCAAGAATATTAATCCCTGCAGTCACGAAAGCTTTAAATCAAAATTTAATAAAGGATTCATATACTTAGTTCTTTCGGTAAAGTCACGTCGAAGGGAAACAATAAAATAAAAAAGTATTATTAAAAATAAAATATATTTTCATTATTTTATTGTTTCCCTTCTACGTGACTTTACCGAAAGAACCCCTAATATGAATCCCTGCAGTCACGAAAGCTTTACATCATAATAAAGGCTTCTTAGATTTGTTCATCTTCTTTTATAAATCTCTATCGATTTAATAATATTCGTTAGTCTATCGTCAACCTTAGCTGTCCCTAGATTCCACAAACCCAATTAATTCGATGATCCAATGTTAACACTATCGTTTAACGCTTCCTCGATGTTCGATGAACTTCTGTTTCGATTTGATTCCGCGCGGTCGCCTTTGGCCACGCCGTGGTAAGCGTGGAAGATCTCACGAAGCTGCGTTGACTGTGCTACTACAACAAGCACCCCACACGTTCAGTGTCAGTACCGCTGCGGCCTTAAACGGACACAAGTATATAATAGGCGACGTTTCGGGTAATGGCCCTTCTTCATCGGACGTCTGCTGATGGAAAATATACTTCACTGATGTGCTAGAGAGAAAGGGCCCATTGCGGTGGTGGAGTGGGATTCATGAACGAACCTTGGGCAACCCCTCTCGCAATTAGTCACAACCCAAGGTAGTAAAACCTCACGCGAGTTGGGAACGTTTTTCCCAGAAAGCCTTCTGAGCAAGGCTTTCCCAGGAACTGGCCAGTCCAAGGTCAATTAAGGTCGCGTGGTCCTGAGAAAATTTTATATGAAATGTTAACGTGAGCGTTGCAACATCTATGATTTACGTTCTACCGTATGTGGCGTGTTTCCACTCTTAACCAAATTCTGATGCGTGGCATTCAGCCCAACTCGTGGAACGAAAAGAGCCCAGAGAATTCGGACTCCTACGGTCGTGTAGGAGAGACTGCGACTTCTCATCAATTGGGACACAAATCTCTCTCAGACAGCTCGAGTCGGTGGGAATGGCCACTCCAGTCAGACGAAAACTCGTTAATAGGTTAAAACGGCACACGAGGATGTGGTGTGGCGAGCATCCATGCACTAAGACATTCAAAACACACGACACTTTCTCAATCTCACACAACAGCAGCCGTCATCACGCCGCTTGTGCCGGGCTAGGTGCACTCCGAGGCCACGTGAAGTGTCGAAGGCTCGCTGGCAGGTCACTGGATAGACCCAGGTGCCATGGGTTGACTAAGATGACCAACAGATGCACTAACTGTGCCCCCAACTAGCCGTAACATAGCTTTCGAGCAAGTTAGCGAGCACCAATGAAGGTCGGTGGCCACGTCCACGCCTTTCGCTCCCGAGTGGCGATGTTTAAACACCGCACCAGGTACTCATTTGAGGCTGAGTCGACCTACGGGAGGCTCAGGACCGGTTCAGATAACCGTGTAGCCCGTTATAACCGCTACACTAACGCTCCCATTTTTCTTGCCCTCCCACACCCTCACACTCACTCGTCCTCTCACACTCTAACACTCACACAACAACAGCAGCCGCCGTTCATCACCAAGTGATGCTGACTTCGCCACAGCGCCTGTGCCAGGCTCGATTCACTTGAAACCACGTGAAGTGTTTAAGGCCCGCTGACAGGAGGTCACACACTCACTCATTCCCTTCCACACTCCCTCACACACTCACTCATTCCCTCACACACTCACTCATTCCCTTCCACACTCCCTCACGCACTCACTCATTCCCTCACACACTCACAACCTAAACGCTCACACACTCACTCATTCCCTTCCACACTCCCTCACACACTCACTCATTCCCTCACACACTCACCCCCTAAACCCTCACACACTCACTCATTCCCTTCCACACTCCCTCACACACTCACTCATTCCCTCACACTCAATCATTCCCTCACACTCACTCATTCCCTCACACACTCACTCATTCCCTCACACACACTCATTCCCTCATACACTCACTCATTCCCTCACACACACTCACTCATTCCCTCACACACTCACCCCCGAACCCTTCACACTCTCACTCATTCCCTCACACACTCCCTCACACACACTCACTCATTCCCTCATACATTCACCTTTAACCCCTCACACACACTCACTCATTCCCTCATACACTCACCTTTAACCCCTCACACACACTCACTCATTCCCTTATACACTCACCCCTAACCCCTCACACACTGCCTCCCTCACACACACTCACTCATTCCCTCACACTCACCCCCTAACCCTTCACACACTCACTCATTCCCTCATACACTCACCCCTAACCCCTCACACACTGCCTCCCTCACACACACTCACTCATTCCCTCACACTCACCCCTAACCCCTCACACACTCACTCATTCCCTCATACACTCACCCCTAACCCCTCAGACACACTCACTCATTCCATCACACACTCACCCCTAACCCCTGACACACACTCACTCATTCCCTCACACTCACCCCCTAACCCCTCACACACACTCACTCATCCCCTCACACTCACCTCTAACCCCTCACACACACTCACTCATTCCCTCATACACTCACCATTAACCCCTCACACACTCACTCATTCCCTCACACACTCCCTCACACACTACCTCCCTCACACACACTCACTCATTCCCTCACACACTCACCCCTAACCCCTCACACACACTCACTCATTCCCTCATACACTCACCCCCTAACCCCTCACACACACTCACTCATTCCCTCACACACTCACCCCTAACCCCTCACACACACTCACTCATTCCCTCACATTCACCCCTAACCCCTCACACACACTCACTCATTCCCTCACACTCACCCTAACCCCTCACACACTCACTCATTCCCTCACACTCACCCCCTAACCCCTCACACACACTCACTCATTCCCTCACACTCACCCTAACCCCTCACACACTCACTCATTCCCTCACACACTCACCCCTAACCCCTCACACACACTCACTCATTCCCTCACACACTCACCCCTAACCCCTCACACACTCACTCATTCCCTCACACACTCACCCCTAACCCCTCACACACACTCACTCATTCCCTCACACACTCACCCCTAACCCCTCACACACTCACTCATTCCCTCATACACTCACCCCTAACCCCTCACACACACTCACTCATTCCCTCACACACTCACCCCTAACCCCTCACACACACTCACTCATTCCCTCACACTCACCCCTAACCCCTCACACACACTCACTCATTCCCTCACACTCACCCCTAACCCCTCACACACACTCACTCATTCCCTCACACACTCACCCCTAACCCCTCACACACACTCACTCATTCCCTCACACACTCACCCCTAACCCCTCACACACACTCACTCATTCCCTCATACACTCACCCCTAACCCCTCACACACACTCACTCATTCCCTCACACACTCACCCCTAACCCCTCACACACACTCACTCATTCCCACACACTCACCCCCTAACCCCTCACACACACTCACTCATTCCCTCACACTCACCCCTAACCCCTCACACACACTCACTCATTCCCTCACACTCACCCCCTAACCCTTCACACACACTCACTCATTCCCTCATACACTCACTCATTCCCTCACACACCCTAACCCCTCACACACACTCACTCATTCCCTCACACACTCACCCCTAACCCCTCACACACACTCACTCATTCCCACACACTCACCCCCTAACCCCTCACACACACTCACTCATTCCCTCACACTCACCCCTAACCCCTCACACACACTCACTCATTCCCTCACACTCACCCCCTAACCCTTCACACACACTCACTCATTCCCTCATACACTCACTCATTCCCTCACACACCCTAACCCCTCACACACACTCACTCATTCCCTCACACACTCACCCCCTAACCCCTCACACACACTCACTCATTCCCTCACACTCACCCCCTAACCCTTCACACACACTCACTCATTCCCTCACACACTCACCCCTAACCCCTCACACACACTCACTCATTCCCTCACACACTCACCCCTAACCCCTCACACACACTCACTCATTCCCTCACACACTCACCCCTAACCCCTCACACACACTCACTCATTCCCTCACACACTCACCCCCTAACCCCTCACACACACTCACTCATGGTGACTTCAGTACTAAGTTACTCTCAATTCCCGGAACGAAAGGGGCGGGGCTGGGGGGGGATGAGTGTGGGGGGTGCCCAGCCCGCCCCCCATCCCCCCCCCTCTCGCGCATGCGCAGTACGGCCCGGCGGGGGCTGAGGCCGGCTATGGAAGCGGTGGCGGCGCCGCGCGTCCCCGTGCGGGACCCGGACCCGGACCCCCGCGGAGCCCCCCACGGAGCCCCCCACGGGGGACACAATGGGGACTCTGGGACCCCGCAGCCGCGGAGTTGGGGCTCCGCGAGGTCGACTTTCCGCCCGGCGGGGTCTCCCTGCGCCATGGAGCAGGAATTCCGCGAGATCGACGCGAAGGGAGAGTGGAGCCGGGTCTACCAGGTACCGATGGGGACCCAGAGGGGACTTAAAGGGAACCTGGAGGGAGCTGGGATGCCTCATGGGGACCTGGAAGGGTCCGAATTCTGAGATGAATCAGAGATACTCAGAGTTGACTGAGAGGAGACTTGAGGGGGCCGTCTGCCGTGTGGTCTCCAAAGGGTATCGAGGTCCAATAGGGACCTGGGGTACCTAAAAGGGAACCTGGGGATGATATACAGGGGACCAGGTACGGAGTGTACACAGAGTGGACAGGGGACCACGAGGAAACCTGGGATCGCTAAAGGTGACCGGTTAAGACCCTGAGGGGTCGGGAGAGGGATAAAGATGCAACCATCTATCTAGGGGTCCAAAGGAGCCCTCAGGGGACCCAACCCTGGGGGGACCCAATCCTGAGGGGACCCAATCCTGAGGGGACCGAGCCCTGAGGGGACCCAATCCTGAGGGGACTCAATCCTGAGGGGACCCAGCCCTGAGGGGACCCAATCCTGAGGGGACCCAACCCTGAGGGGACCCAACCCTGGGGGGACCCAATCCTGAGGGGACCCAATCCTGAGGGGACTCAACCCTGAGGGGACCCAGCCCTGAGGGGACCCAACCCTGAGGGGACTCAACCCTGAGGGGACCCAGCCCTGAGGGGACCCAACCCTGAGGGGACCCAGCCCTCAGGGGACCCAGCCCTGAGGGGACCCATCCCTGAGGGGACTCAGCCCTGAGGGGACCCAGCCCTGAGGGGACCCAGCCCTGAGGGGACCCAGCCCTCAGGGGACTCAGCCCTGAGGGGACCCAATCCTGAGGGGGCTCAGCCCTGACGGGACCCAGCCCTGAGGGGACCCAACCCTGAGGGGACCCAGCCCTCAGGGGACCCAGCCCTGAGGGGACCCACCACTGAGGGGCACTGAAGGGGTCCCAGCCCTGAGGGGACTCAACCCTGAGGGGCACTGAAGGGGACCCGATGATAACTTTTGGGGAGCAGAGGGAACCAGGGGGGCTGGGAATCGGGAATACGTAGTGCCTCATCTGGGACCTCGATTCCCCGGCCACTCAGGAATCCCTGAGCCGCCTCATCACTGCACGCCCTCGTTACATGTAACGCGTTACATTTGTTCACTATCACTCGTTACATGTAACTCGTTACATTTGTCCACTATCACACGTTACATGTAACGCGTTACATTTCCTCACTAGCACTCGTTACATGTAACTCGTTACATTTGTTCACTATCACTCGTTACATGTAACTCGTTACATTTGTTCAATATCACTCTTTACATGTAACGCGTTATATTTGTTCACTATCACCCGTTACATGTAACTCGTTACATTTGTTCACTATCACTCGTTACATGTAACTCGTTACATTTGTTCACTATCACTCGTTACATGTAACTCGTTACATTTGTTCACTATCACTCGTTGCATGTAACTCGTTACATTTGTTCACTATCACTCGTTACATGTAACTCGTTACATTTGTTCACTTTCACTCGTTGCATATAACTCGTTACGTGTTCACTATCACTCGTTACATGTAACTCGTTACATTTGTTCACTATCACTCGTTACATTTGTTCACTATCACTCGTTACATGTGTGCACTACGGTGGCATTGTCACGTGCTAAACGTAGGTAGGTTGGCGAATTTAGTTACATTTGGTCACTCTCACACTTTACATTTGCCTAATGATCTACTGATGTTGCGGGTCTTGTGTGGACAGTGGTGCACGAGTACAAATTAACACAAACTTAACACATTCTGTCAATTCTATCTTGCGCATGATGGCAATATGTTCAGGAAGTCTGCCAGCCACGACGAGAGGGCTTCAGGAGATAATTCGTGGAGTTGTTTCTGTTCCTCCTCCACTGAAGAAGCCCAGACTCCTACCGTAGTTGACTACATAGTGTCAAAAAACACTCTTCTACCTGTGTGGCCTCTCTGTGTGCTGCTGCGAAGGCCCGTTTGCCCGAAACGTCGCCCGGTATATACTGGCAAATTTTAAGGCCACGTCACAGTGTTAGTAGTGACGGGTGTGCCGAGTTTTGTTTTTGCTCTTTGGGGTGATTTCAAGTCGAGCTACATTTGTGTGGAGACACCGAGAGTCGAAGGAGAGGAAGTTGACGCGAGGGGGGGGAGGGGCTGCCCGGTCTCACATTCCCCGTAATTGCTCACCAATTCGTGCGTTGAAGTTTAACAAACACAGACATAATAAAGTTACATCTATAGGACATTTTTTGGCAGGATCCAAAATTATGAAAAATAAGAATAGGGTTTTATCCTTCCTGACAATAAAACAGGTGTTAAGATGTTAACATACCAAATAGATACCTTGTTCAAGGTGTCAAACATGCATGTTTTGCCACGAGTATGTGTGTGGGTTAATGCAGACTACGCCTTGCAAAAGGTACCTATTTGGTGTCTGAACATCTTGACACCTGATTTAATGCCGGAAAGGATAAAACCTATTCTTATTTTTCTACTTTTTAAAAATAAAGTTAGATGTTATTCACTTCACTGTTCAATGTAAGAATCTACCATAGTTACACAGGGAAATCAGCTGAAGGTTCAGTGAACCGACGCATAGATTTAATATCGGTTGTAATTAAGGCTCGAGACACTCATCGAATCGCCTGCTTGCGAATCGATTGACCGAGCACAAGGATGAGACAGCATTGGTACTCACTTAACACTTTCCCAGACCACCGTCTTAGTTGGGGTTAATGATGACTGTGGTTGGTGTGTGTGGGCGCTTGTTTCGTCGGTTTGCGTGTGTGTGCGTGTGACAGGCAGGCGGTTGTGCGTGTTTTTTGTTGTGTGGCTGTTGTCTCAATGGATGAGGTGGTTGCGTGCGTGACAGGCAGACGTTTGTGGTCGAATCCCGGTATCATCATCGCCAGGAATTTTTCTGTGAGATTCTTGGAAAAATCGGATTAGCCAACCGTACGACCCTTGACCCCCACTTAGTCTGCATGCTCTCCCCGTTTACCCGGACGCCACTCCTTATTCGTATGAACACGCATGCTGCAACGTTGAACACTCGTGCTGCAACTTGCCACTGGCTCGCACGTTGCACACTTCTTCCTCCCCTCGGATTGCGGTGTCATTCTCCTGACGTGGCCAGTTGCGAGTCCCACGGGCCGAGCGGTCGCGCAATTGCCACATCTTGCAGAGGATCACGGTTCTATTCCAACGGCTGCTTTGGTTACTACTGTGGGTGCATTGACATGGAGACGGTAGCGATCCCGTGACGTCATCAAGACTTTCAGTTTTTAGTTTATTTGATTTTTTTCTTCAGGGATGATCCTGTATAGCAGTTTATCTGCTATTTTACAAGGTAGATCTGTGGTGGGTGAGCACAGTAGCAGGAATAAAAACATCAACATTGCAGAGAACGAGTATAGGGTCCTTTTGGAATATTACACAACGAACAAAGAAGGTGTAAAAAGGCCATAAACTAATCACACAAGAATAAAAAAAACAGCGACAAAATCATTCACGTACAGGTTGTTAAGTTGATTGTTACATCGCTGGATTGTGAGAGGTGGCGGCGGCTTGGAGAGAACGTCATGCAGTAGTAGATAGAGCATGGCTGATGATTACGACGACGATGCATGAATGAAAAGTGACATACCAACACTCCTATAGATGCATGTTCTCAATCGGGGCATTCGGGCTGTAATGACGTGGACTTGAAACGCAGGCTATGGCAAAGGCCACGAGAGAGCTGAGCTTCACAGTGAAACGTGGAGAGGATGCACGCTGGGAATTTCACCGTGGGGGAAACTTGGAATGGAGAAGACGTGCAAGTTAGATACACCACCATCTCGGCCGTTGAGAAAAGTGGGCTCAGCCAGGATGCATCGCATATGGAAGGGATGATGGCTGACAGATGAGACCGGTGACGGAACGGCAGCCAACGGGGGTGGTGGTGTGAGTGGGACGGATTGTGACATTCCAGGGCCGGGTGCGACAAGGCTGGACAAAAAGCATTAGGTGGACATCATTTTGGTCATCTCTTCCATCAGCACAATTTTTTTTCATTGCACAACCCTTTCTCCACTGCTGGATGAAGTTCCCCCTTCTTTGCCATTCAGGTCTCCCCCTTTACCGCTACTCCCCCTCCTTGAGGATTTACGTGTATGCTTTTTGTTTGAGTTGGTAAGTGAGGGACTAAGTCTCCCCCCATGCATTCTCGTTGGCTGTGGTTGGAGCTTACGTCGCGGTCGGGGTGAAATTGTTATCTCACAACGAACAACAGATACCGACTTTGCTGTGTCCCCGGGGATAGTGTCTGAGTCGTCTCGATTGAGGAAAATTATCGATTTCCCGGAAAAGTGTAAAGAGCCAAAACGTTTTGTTTTACATGGTCCACCAATGATGTGATTATAATAACGATAAGAATGTTATTTGCACGAGGTTTTGTGTGCGGCGAGTAGAGGCTGTAACACTCTTTCACGGTCTCATCACGACTCGCATGGATTCTTGAGCCCGAGAATTGATGTGAGTCACGGGTCGTTTTTTATGTAAATTGCTTTGAGATATTTCGATATGAAAGGCGCTTTATAGAATAAAGATTATACTTATTAATGACTGCGGTGTTAACAATAAACTGATTGTTTAATTGAATCGCAATCCTGAATTGCGAGGGATGGAATTAGCACCCTCCTAACTATGACAATAGTTAACTCTGTGGTGTAGCTTGTAGCGAACAAGAACGTGGATATCTGTAATAATCACCGGCATTGTGAAGCATCACGTGAAGTGTTATTCTTCGTCATGCTAGAACCAGCTTGTTTGACGAAATTGCAAGGTATGTGTCCCGACGCAGCACTTCCTCTGAAAGGGAGGCTCCTGGTCCCAGCAGGGCCTCGCCCCCTCTTGTATAAAGGAATTGTTATTTGTGTTCCCCTCCGTCATGAGCCTCCCAGCCGCGGAGTGCCAAGACACCCGGGTTCCAGGAATCCTGCGCTCAACCGTTTCACAGAAATGCTCCCATGAAACGGCTGCGCGGTTATAGTAGTAGTAGCGCCGCGGTGGCATTTGCATTGGCATGGGTTTGTGCCATCGTCGCACTGAGCTAGTAGCGAGGGAGGGCGACGCTCGGCCGCGATAAGCCAACTGATTGGACAGGCAGAGATTCCAACTGATGGACACGTGAACGATCGTGGGTGAGACTGAAGAATCCTCATCGTGAGACTTGAGAATCATCGCGGTGAGACTTGAGAATCATCGTACAAAGAAGTCGTCGTCCCAGTTTGATGGGGAGTTTATTCGATGCCTTGTTTCAAACCGCGATTACCCTTGCCCTTCCACGCTCCTCACACCACCGCCTCCGCTCTCATTCACCGCGCCCCTCTGCCCCTTGCTATCGGCAGGAGCTGCGCCAGGAGTCGGCCGTCTACCCCTACAAGGCCGCCAAGCGGCCCGAGAACAGCCGGCGCAACCGCTATCGCGACGTCAGCCCCTGTGAGTGGACGCGCGGGGCGTCGCCGCTCGCACGGCGCTACAAGCCAGGCCTCGGTAGCCCCCTTGTATGTGGCTGCCTGTATCCCAGGTCCTCACCTGTTCCATCTGTATGGGACGGTGTGTTGTTGCCCCACGCATGCGTGGGTTTTTTTCCATGTACTACGGTTTCCTCCTACATGCAAACACTCCTTAACTCGCTGAAAACATGTTCATATTAGTGCGCCGGCTCACATCGTGACTCCTGCCTTGCTGCTTCTCTGTGGTTGCTCCACGCGCCTCTGAGTCCTTTTCACTGTTCGAGAGTGAGCAAATATTGTGCGGTGCGTTACAAGTTGACGTTATTGTTAGTGGGGTGTGTTGTGGCACAGGTGCCGCATCCGTCAAACATCATCTCAGTCAATGCATAACACCTGGATCTGTCCTGTAACCTCCCACCCACCCCTTCATGTACCGTGCAGGCCTTCATAGGTTCTCATGGATACCACTTGCCCCGACATCCTGTGTAGGCTACATGGGCAATCTGTCATCGGTGTGTGTATGTACATGTGCTCGCACACACGACACACAGCACACATGCATTACCTTATTACAACTGTGACCTCCACCCCCCCCCCCCTTCCCAGTTGACCACAGCCGTGTGCGGCTGCAGAGGGGAGATGGCGACTACATCAATGCCAGCCTGGTGCAGGTGCCACAAGCTCAACGCAGCTACATCCTGGCGCAGGTGACCACTAGGTCAGGTCAATCCCACCTGGGGTCGCCACTGGGTGAACCACCCGGCGGTGGTGGTGCCCACCCCTTAAAGCCCGGGCCGAAACGTCGTGAGAATTTTATTGTTTTATTTTATTATTTTATTCTCATTCTACGTGACTTTACCGAAAGAACCAAAGAAGATGAATCCTTGCAGTCACGAAAGCTTTAAATCGAAATTTAACCCCAAGAAGTCGCTGGGGGTCGACGGATAGACGCTACCAAGTCGTCAAGAATATTACCGCTAGACAAAGATCCCCCCGGATAGCCTTCACCAGACTTGGGACAAGTGCTGCTAGCAAAGCATCTAAGGGGGTAGGTGGCCAAAGTGGGTGGGTGGCAAGCATCACCCCAGTGCTAATTTTTTTATACACGCTACACCAAGTACTCATATAAGGCTGATTCGAGCTAGGGGACCAGTTCAGATATTTGTCACCGATGTTGGCCGTGAGCGGGAATCGAACTCGGGTCGCCGGGTTCATAGCGCAGCAAGAGAACCACCAGGCCACCGCTTCCCAAACCGCTAGATACAGGATGCATCACACACACCTCGAATCGCTCCCGCATCTCCGTCACGTTCGTGGCAACGCTGTCACTCGGGGAAACCCGGACGTTTTGCTCGGCCTGGCGACAAACTCGCTGGGTTGGCAACGCTGCCTCCTGGGCTACGGGGTACTACCAGGTCTGCCAGCTGCACTCGTTCGTGGGATGCGCCACCTTTCCCTCCCACCCCGTCCCCTGCCCTGTGCCCGCAGGCCCCGCTGCCCAACACGTGCGGACACTTCTGGCAGATGGTGTGGGAGCAGAAGTCTCGCGCCATCGTGATGCTGAACCGCACGGTAGAGAATAACGTGGTGAGACCCGCGCCCATTTACTGCTCGTCGTCATCCTCATCGTAGTGAGCCACGGTCTTTCCACTGCTGGACAAAGGCCTTCCCACGCCGTCGCCTGCGACACCACAATTCATCTCGCTGTGGCGCATGAACTCAGTGTGGTCTCGGCGCTCCGTCTTGGCGCTGGTTGTCATCTCAGAGCCGTGCTCCCTCCTTTGGCTGCCATACCATCTCCAGCTCTCGATACGCATATGAGCGGCTCGATTTTGTCAAGAATCAATTGTTTTTAAACTCCTTGTCCGTTCGATGTCATGAGTTCCCCTAGCCCCTGTGACCATTAGAGGCCGCGCAACACTGAATACAACTTGGGGCCAGTTCCAGTTTGTGATCGTGTCATTTATAATTAATTGCAGGCGCAATGTATTTGTGACTGTAATCTCGTGTGGCAACGTGGCTGTAATTATCCTTGATCCCAGTAGTTCGATCCACCGAACTACTGGGCAGAGTGGACCGTTGATCATACAGCCGGGCTACACTCCAGATTGTTGGAGTAATCAATTACTCTTCCGATCATTGGTTCGATCTCTCAACTTATCAAATAAACACGAGCGACATGCATACGAGCGGCTCAGTTTTGTTCCCACGCATGCCACTGGATGGGAGGTGGTGCGCGGGGCTTCTGGGGTGCGAGTGGAAGGGAGGGGGTTAAAGTGGCCTGAGTAATCGGCCACAACGCAATTTCGTTGATTATATTATAAGTTTCAGCCAAGTAATCGGCTTAAAATCAACCAATGTATGGCCGCGGTGTGGGAAGGCCTACGTCCGGCAGTGGATAGGCCATTGCTCACTATAGCTGTAGTTAATCGTGGCCGTCTGTGCCCCACCACTCCTTGCACATTGTGTGCTCAGAAAAAGTGTGAGAAATACTGGCCCAAGCGGAGGGACGCACCCAAGAGCTTCCGCGACTCCTCGGTCACGCTACTGGGCGAGGAGCGCACGCCCTTCTTCACCGTCCGCGAGCTCCAGCTACACTTCCTGCCGGTGCGTGCATGTGTTCGCTCGTGTGTGTGTCTGGGGAGCGGTAGTGTAGCGATTAACGCGCTGCACCACGAACCTGGCCACCCGAGTTTGATTCTCGCTCACGGCCAACATCAGTGCCGATTATCTCAACTGGTCCTGGGCCTCCCTTCGCCTCAAATGAGTACCTGCTCGTACGCCATTCTGACCTTCACAGGTGCTCGCTAACAGCACTTGCCACAACAGTCTGTTAAGGCTATACAGGGGATCTTTGTGTGCGTGCATGTATGAATGTGTATGTAAAATTTACAGACGTTACATTGAGGGATACATTTAAAAAATCACACGTGAACTTGAACAAGAGAATAATACGTGAAAACAATTACAGAAACAGTAAAAATTTCTACAGAGAGGATAAATTACACTTGCAAATTCACAATTAAACCACAGTTGCAAGTCGTAGTTGCAAATATGGTCAAGTGGTACTCATTGTGACGCTGGCACACGCGGCCTACGCTATGGTGCATAACATTGCAGGGTCTTTAATGTTCACTGTTAAGTAGATGGCGTGTAGTATTTATGGTAACTGCACTCACAGTATTAACCGGGGCGGCCACGGGTCCCGAACCGCGAACCTCCGCAATAAGCGCCGAGCGCGCTCCTGGTCGGCCACGGCGGCGCCACCCCCACCGTTGCTGGCGCGCGAGTCAATGCCCACGTCACGGCTTTCCCCATGCAGGCCGGAGAGACTCGGAAGGTTCTGCACTTCCACTACACCATGTGGCCCGACTTTGGAGTCCCAGAATCCCCCACGCACTTCCTCGACTTCCTCTTCCGGGTCAGGGCCTCGGCGTCGCTGTCGCCGGAGCTCGGGCCGCTGGTCGTGCACTGCAGCGCTGGGATCGGCCGCTCGGGGACGTTCTGCCTGGTGGACACGTGCCTGGCGCTGGTACGACGCGAGACGGGCCGGCGCCGGCTCCACCGTGACACGCGCGGCTTCGCTCGCGTCTCGGCCCGGCCTCGTTCGGCGAGCGAACGATAAAGCGAGCGGCGAGGCAGCGTTAAATTCGTGTTACGTAATGAGCGAGTGAAATGATTCGTCGATGTATGTCCATGGGCGAAATGTCATCTTTTTTTCACCGGAAGCCGGGGCGCGTCGGCGCGTCTCTCCCACAGGTGGAGCGCACGCGCGAGGGTCTCGTCCCCCCGGATGTGCGCCAGGTGCTGCTGCAGATGCGGCATGCACGCATGGGGCTCATCCAGACGCCCGAGCAGCTCCGCTTCTCCTATCTGGCCATCCTGGAGGGCGCGCGCGCTGCCCTGCCATCAGCAGCGGCGGTTCTGCCTAAGGTGCCGAATCTCTTTGTAATTTTCTTGGAAAAGTAGGATTGGCAAAACACGACCCTTCACCCCGCTCACTGCGTGTTTTCTCCCCATTTACCCGGACGCTGCTACTCGTTTGCTTGAACACGCGTGTTGCAACGATGAACATGCGTGCTGCCACGCCCTCACGTGTTGCATTTGCTTCGTTCACTGGGAATGCGGTGTCATTCTCCCCACCTGGACGGTTGCAGGTCGCATCGGCTGAGCGGGCACGCGATTGCCGCATCTTGCAGAGGATCGCGGATCGAGCCTCTCGGCTGCCCTGGTTAATACCGGGGGTGTATTAACCATGAATGCTGCAGCGCACTGTGTGCCACACGGCGGACGATAGAGATCCCATCACATTATTTGAAATGTGGAAGGCGATGTGTGCCGGTGTCGTGCCCCAAATTTTCCAAATTGGAAATCTTCACTCTCAAATTACTCAAATGAGGAACCTTCCGTCGTGATAGCCTCGCGCTTTAAGAATGGCACAAATACCAAATGTAATTCTCATAATTTTACTTGCTGAAAGGAGTGTGGAGCTGAGGGAGCGGAGGGAGAACGGTTGGGAGAGCAGGCGCTGGCAACCGTGGCTGTGCGGGGCAGCGACGGCGAGGCCGGTGGTGCCACGGGTGAAGCCGACAATGCGGGGGTCACGTGGTGGTCACATGGTGCGGTGGAGAGGGTGGCCCCAAGGGAGGATGACGAGCGGCAAAGGTGAGGTTTCTTATAACCTCTCTGTCCCTCACCTCTTCATCCTCACCTTCCCATCTTCACCTCCCTGCCCTCACCTCCCATTTCTCTTCACTACCCCAGAGACGTTCGTGAGGGCGACTCGACTAATGTTGCCACATTCCTCTCTGCTTGTGAAGGGACAACGCGAGTGACGCGGAGAGCAGGAGCATCAAGCGGAAGTTGGATTCTCCTCCTCTGCAGCTTCCGGACGAAGATGGAGGAGAGAGCAGTTGTAAGAGGTGCGTGCAGCAGTCACTTCCTCCGCACCGCCCTCCTCTTCGCTTTCCCTCCCTGCCCGGCCCAACCCGCCACCCCAGACAACAACCACAAGCGCCATTCGCCACCAAGTGGCAGTGATGTCACCACGGCGCTTGTGCCAGGCGAAGTGCAGCACCACCCTTGGCACACGCGTGTTTCTGCGCTGGATGCTGGATTGAGTGGGTTTCCCACCTTTGGCAGGCAACGTGGGGTGGCTGCCATTGTTAAAGCAGCCCAAGTAATCGGCCTCACATCGTACTGGCGATTATGATATTTATTCCATTAGCGCCGAGTTGTCTCGGCGCTAATGGAAACACGGTCACTGTTGATCATCGCCAGTACGCCCGCTGGTCTTTTACTGTGCCATCCCTGCGACTCTCGTGTCCGCGTGTCTCCCCACTCCAGGTTGCGGCCCTAGCCCTCGCTACGTTGGCCGGCACTCGGCCCATGACAACGGCGGGCGGTGGCATGCACGCCACGCAACGAAATTACCGTGGCGGCAGCAGCAGCTTGGCCCGGGGCACTACCACGGGCATGATGCGCCGCAAGGAAAGGCGGCTTCCAGGGAACCTTGAGCAGGCGAAGTGAAGGGAGATTTTTCTGTTTGTGTCAAAGAGCTTCTGCAGCAATGGTGTGGGGTCTGCAGAAGCATCCAGGTTCCACTCCTCCATCTCCTCCTCCTTTGCTTTCTCGTCCTCCTGCTGCGGCTACCGCTGCTGCGGCTATTTGACGCGGCCCCAAGTTTCAAGAGCGGGGCAATGTGAATGCTCCACGTGTGTTTTTTTAATGATTGACAGCTTGCCCAGACAGCCAGACTAAGAGAGGGCACCACTAAAGTCGGACTTCTGCCTCTGCTGGGCGCGGGATGGAAGAGGGGGTGGACCGGAGCTGTGTCGAGGTGCGACGATGCGGTTTTCCCAAGACTGCTGTGTTTTGTACTAGTGTTATTTTTCTATCGGCCTCAGGTTTTGTCACCATGCTCGTTAGCGGTAATGAATTGGCTAGTGGCGGGGTCCTGGCTGGGGAGTCGGGCCCCGCCCTCGCTCGGGGAAGGAGGGACCGGGGTGCGGAAGGGTATTTATCCCCCGGTAAGGAAAGTGAAGTTGCTTGTGAAGGGCGTGTGTGGGGAATCTTGGAATGTTTTGCGAGTGCTTGTTTGCATGTGAACCTTGGTAGTGGTGGTGCGAGCGGCGTGGTGTGTGTAGTGAGTGCTATCGTAAAGCACTGGTATTGTGATGTCACAAGTCATGTGACTCGTGCCAAGTCAGCCCGTGGTGTCGGCGGCCGCTGGCCCCGTGATCTCTCATCGCCAACCGCTGCCACGACTTGGCGTACCGGCGTCTCCAGTCGACTCGGTGCACTGCCGATGTGCTCATGGGCCACAACTTTGAGCCACATCCACTGCACAAGCCATGGCAGAGGTGGCTATACCTGATGATGATGATGATGCATAAATGGAAAGTTAAAAACTCTGAGCAGTGTGCGGCAACTGTGGTCACCACCCAGCACAGGACCATTGGGTGTGTAACGACTCGATGCCGATTCACATCGTCATCACAGTCACGGTTCACCACGCTGCTCCTCTGGATGCAATTATCTGACTCCACCACCTCGGTGTAAAATTCCAGCTCTTGCACGACATCAACATCAGCCATACGAAATGATAAGATTTCCTATTATAAATCACAACAACCGCCTTTCGGCACTAAGTGGTGGTGACGTCACCACTATAAATCACTCGCACTTGTACACAAGCCCAGCGGGTGTAGTCTGATTCCTTGGATCAGGCTTAAAAGACCCGCGCGTGGCTATGGTGGTTTTTGCACCGTGTTGGTCTGCACGCGACCCCTGCTACACGTGAAGCTGCCCAGCAAACAGTGCAGGTTGTAGAGGGCGGGGATTGCAAACGTTTGTGGCAAGTTTGAGCGCCCTGCTGGTGCGAGCGGTATTGGTGGTGCGAGTGCTCTGATGGCGTGGCTGTTGTGTTGGTGTGAGTGTAGTTGGTGGTCTCAGTGTTGTGATGGTTGTTTTTTCGGTTTGAGAGTTGGTTGTGGTGGTGTGACTTCGTTCTCCTGGTGTTGCCAGCGCAGGACCTTTCTCGGTTCCAGCCTCTTGGTGGAAATGTGGATGATGCTTGCAAAATAAAGAAACATTCCAACTACACCCCCCCCCCCCCCCCCGCTCTTCTGCACCCTCATTACATCGCGATGCCATTCCACAGTTGAGTGGCGGCGCGGGCTCAAAGGTTGTCTGAAACTAAACACCAAATTAAATCTGAACGCTGAGCTGACCATTACGGAGATCTGTTTAAGTCCGGGTTCCACCTACTTCTCAGGAAACTGTTCTCAAATGCAGGGAGTTGTTGGTCTCAGCCCGGTCGCCAATGACTGCACACAAAAAAAAAATATTACATTCAAGTTTGGTTCTGCACGTAATTTGACTCAATTCTAGCTCCTAGAATGAAAAATATCGGTTTGACCGTCATTACTGTCTGTAGCAGTGGGTGGGAAAGTGCTGCTTCTGCACGCGTGTGGATCCACCCAGAGGTTATAGTTAGTGTGTGATACTGTATCCTCTTGTGGGTTTCGTTCTGTGTGGACCAGAGGTCACTTGAAGGGATTTCATGTTAAAGGCAGCTCTGTGATATCTGCTACCATGGGCCGTTCTCTCACATGGGGGTGGGTGGGTTGTTGCACTGCTCCAAATGGATCGGACACCGAGACAACGCGATGCCAATAGCGCTATCGGGATAGTTAAAGAAATTACGCGGACAGAAATCAGTGACGCGGAGACGGGAGAAGTGAAGACGTTTTATTTTAAACCATCTCTTGTCGTCACGTGGTCGACTACGCATTGTTATTCCGAGCGGCTACGGTGAGGGTGGGCGATGCGATGGTGGAGCTATTGCTGCTCGGTTGGGGAAGAGTATCATTACGCTACACTCCGACTCGCTCGCTTTGTCGCCGCGAGAAGCACTGCATCTAGCCAGCTCCCGGTCGATGACCGGACACACATTTGCCTCACCGCATCCGCATCCAGGATACCTCTGGCTGTGAATACTCAGTTATGTGCCACCTACCCTCAGTCGCTCAGGAATATACAGAGGAATTGCGTCCTGGGTGCTAACGACGCGTCGATGCTTTCCCCCACTTGCATATGTTGGTAATGGGTTGGTGTGACCACTGCACTATGGCCACTCGAGGCCACTACATTCTCGCGTAGTAACATTCCAAGTAGAAACGACTCGCCGCACGCACCGCCAGACACGCGCACACGCGTGGTGATTCAGCGGAAGAGATCCCGTCGGTCTCGGTGACCATCAGTTGCATCGTCCGTCCGTGAGAATCCATGACCGTTTGAGAGTGATGCAAACCCTGTACAAACGTTGCCTTTTTATTTTATTTAAATATTGACACCTGGTTATCCAGAAGAGCCTCTCCGAGTCTCATGACTCTTTCTCGGAGAGTCCTGCCAAATTTTGTCGGAAAGTGTTGATTGCTTTGTAATGCATCATCCAGTTGGACCGTGATGGCAGCACACAATGGCCCACTCACGCGATAGACGTCATTGGACTTTTAATGTTGACCGTGAAGCATACGGCACCGATTTTTCCCAAAGCAGTCTCCCCGTTCAAGTACCGACCCGGCTCAGCCCCGGCATCATCAACATCTTTTGTCCAGGATGATGAAGCTGAGCCTGGGATTCTCCATTGAATCAAATGGCGCTGTGCTGGATGTCATCGAGAGGCTGAATCGCTACGATCGTTGAACCTCACGGCAGTCGAGTCATGAGGCGGCGGCTATCGCGACCCCCACACGCGCAGCATGCGAGAGGGAGGCGACCTCCGCACCCCGCTCGCATCTAAATACTGAGCCATCGGTTTGCTTTGAACTTTTTGTACGCAATTACATTATGAATTATCGCAACTAAAAATAAAACCCCACACTTCGACTTTCACGCTGTTTCAGCAATGCCACCCACGCGGTTGATCGTCGCTGCCCCGGACGGAGCGACACTCGCTCGGGGGGTCCGCCTCTTGAACCCCCGAGAGGGAGTCACGGGTTTGGCCCAAAGCGGAAACAAAATGGAATTTTAAAAAGCGTTAAATTAATATCGCACAGCGGATTCGGCCCCCACACTCACCAGCTGTCGGTTAGACCAGGCCCAGCTGTGCAGCCCTCTCACAACCCACGCACCGCTCGCACGCTCCCTGTAAAACTCGGTCCCTCTTCCACTAAAACCTGAACGCCGCAATGAATCCAGATGCCACGATAAACCGGGCAAAATTTAGGGCAACTGTCACCAAATCTAACACAAATTTGGATGGAAACGTCCAATTAGAAGATAGGCAAAGGTCACACGACAACCCGAGGTTGCGTGCTCGATAGACCAATCAACAAACTCTATTTTAGTTGCCGAGATGTAACTCAATTACTCAGCACCACCGCGAGTCAATGTTATTCCAGTGATGAGCGCTTCGCACTGCCCCGTTCATCGTGGCTTTGACATAACGGTCATGAATTTGTTCCCACGAGGGGAAATCATCACAGGGACCATATTCGGTTAAAAAAAACGGTGAGGACTTGGGAGGGAGCCGAGAGCAGATGTGCTTTTTGAGTGGCTCTGTCAGTTAAGCCAGTAATAGTTAAAAAGTCAAGTTTTATAGTATTATTTTAAATATTTGGATACATTGTTATGCAACAAATTACATATTACATTGTTAAGCCCATCTGGGTCTTACTTTAAATTAGATCAACACTACACTTGGACAAATGGCAGCAGCTGAATGTTTTTCATGGGTGGAGTGCAACTTTATTTTAAAAAATCAAGTCCCTCTCAACCAGCCAAGGTCTCCATTGCTCACCAAGAGTCTCCCTCACCCGTGCTGGGTCAAACCCTCGCCCACCCACATTGGGGCTCTCTCACCTTCCCCAGGTCCCACTCGCTCCCCTGGGGCCCACTCGCTTTCCCAGGGCCTCTCTCCCCCACGGCGGGCTGCTGCAAGTGCGCGCGTTACTCTACAAAGTCGAGGCACTTTCAAGTCGATCGCCGCTGCGGCGCAAGGAGCCGCGCTCCAACGCGGCGCGTGCGGGCAACGGCAAGCGCGCCACTCGACCGGTATCGCGCGCTGTAAACAAAACGGTAACCGTGAGATGGAACGCAAAGTCCCACGAGCCGGAATGGTCACCTCGTCGCGAGTCGTCCCGCAACCTCCTTTCCGTCAACACGTGAGGGAATGATCGCTCCAGACTCTGCCACTCCGGACCGAAATGCCGCTCCTCTGCAGTGCAAAAAACGATTTGGGCAAAAAAATAAGTTTTTCTTTTTTTCAAAAATGTGCTGCCAGCCACGGGTAAGCCCCGCGGTTAATAGCAACAGTGGCAGCAGCAGCTCTACGGAATGAGGGCGGCAGCCGATGTCGCGTTGTGACCGAGCGGAGAGCAGCGAGGAGTCGGGCCGTTGTTCGTAAACGAGTTGTGCCGTGACCTCGCGCTCCCGTCGGGAAGTCGCCGCGCGTGGGGAATCGTCACGCGCAGACCTCCGCGGCGACGGACGCTCGACCAAACGATCATCCCCCACGCTCGCTTCATTCAAGATACAGCAGGGAGGGGGAACTTTTTACTGACTGAAGGCTGAATAGGACTTTCAAATTCCCTGGGGACAGCAACCGCAGGCACGCACGCATGCCGATGCACCTCTGTCTGGAGCAGGGTACGACAGAGGTGACCGAGGGTCCTAAAATTAGCACAGCATTTCCAGGTGGTCGAAAACGTTCCACCCCCCAGGACCCGATTTAGAGTTTTTCAGCAGTGGATAAACATCGTTCATGTGCCGCGTCAAGTAAATTGTCAGGTCATATCAAATGAAGTCCACGAGCCATGGCAAATGAAGCTGTGTGCTGTGTGGAATGAAGCCGCCGGGGCGCATAGGTTCTCCACCCCTGCTCTAAGGCGATCACATGATTACACAAAGTGAGGAATTCCTTGTCGACCGGGCCGGCGGCCAACCCAGAAGTGGGCGCTCGTGCCCGTGGCGCTTTCCTCTGGCTGGCGCTTGTGCGTTACTACCCCCCCACCTCCTCCCTTGTGCTTCTCACTGTCCCGCCACGTATTGATGCCGACGCAACGCCAGACTCGTGCCAAAGGAACGCCTCCGGGACCCGGGCACCGCCGAGCATCGTTCTGGAATAGGGGTTTTGATTTTCTGTTTTACCATAGTTTTATATATATAAAAAACAAAATTTAAATGCAGTAGCCCGAAATATCGAGGACCCACATTACACCAGGGTGCTGGGGGTGGGATACGGTGAGGGGGGTGGGTTTAGTGGGGGGTAAAGGGGGTGCTGTGGTTTCACGAGAGGGGTCTGGGAATCGATGCTGCTGTGTGGCTGCGGCCCTCGTGACGATTCGCGGTGTTTATCTCTAACGGCCGAGGGTGAACCTCCGAGTATGGGCACCGCAAACCAGGGCCAAGGGAGAGGTACAGACAAGCGATGACAATGACGGCGACGATGTGAGACGGAGCACTCTCTACAGGAACAGAACTTTACTGGGTCCTGATGACTATCATAACGATCATATGACAGCGTGCTCTACATGGGGAGAAAGTTAAGGGCTTGTACTAATGATGACGGCGACAGTGATAATAGCGACTATGGCTATATGTGACAGAGAGCACGTGCTACGTGGAGGGGGAAGTTACTTTTTGACGTGGGGGAAATTACTCTCAGCTTGTTTTTACGAACCAGAGACTCCTCCAGGAGCTGCTTCGGGGTTGGAGACACCGAACAAATGCACGTTGCCCCCACCTATGTTTCAAAACTGGGTCCTCCAGCGTGGCGAGGGGATGGTCCCAGCTCAATCACCAGTAACCCAAACATCCCTGGCGCAATTGGCTCGCGGTGTAAATCCGCTGAATCAAGCTCTCAGAATTAATCGTTTAGCTTTTAACGGCATGCACCAATCTTTGCCGGGCGTGTATAGTATGCGCACCCCGAGTAGCTGCGACACCGTTTTGCGGGGGCCGTTCCTGTGGTAAGGGGCGGTGCGCTGCTCCGTGCTCCAAATCAAGACGCCTTCCTCGCACGAGACATCGGCAAAAACCGTTCAACACAAGCGGAGGACCGCACGACAATGATCGCTCTGCCACGTGTTGATGCTATGCCACGCGTTGTTCCATGTCTGACGTTTCACTCCGCGTGCCGGGAGATCCTGACAAAGCGCTCGGAGGGCTAAACGGCGCAACCCCGGAAACATACGCAGGAGCGGTAAAGCCAAGGGGACCTCAAACCAAACAAATGGGAGCTTGCCCCATGGAGATCTACGAAGCGCATTCGGACGGCAAGCCGGCCCGATCCGGTCACCAACGGGCGCTGGCATTGAACGACGGACCAACGACGCGGCGGGGGGAACCGTCCCACCCCCCCCCTCCAAACCTCGCCCCCACCGTACCACCGGCCGGTTTCACTCTTGCCGTCTCCTCGGAAACGCAGCCCCGTACAGGGAGCCGGCGCTTTTGCCTTCGTCTTAGCGACCCAGTCCGGCTCGCCACCGACCCAAGACAACAGGTGTTGCCAAATGCTCACCCGGCGAGCGTGCCATCTTAACTCCGACAGTGCGGAGCGGTGTGTCATGCGTAAGCCGACCTCCGCCCCTGGCCTGGCGAGCGACCCCCAGCCCGAGGGTGAACGTCGAGCCCTCTGAGGGCGACGTCACCGGGCGGCGGGCGGAGTGGGGAGGGAAGATCGAGGGAGGTGACTCTAGAATAGTGCCAAGCCCGGCCCCATCTCTCCGTTATTGAATTGGCACCGGCAGCACCGCGCTGGCGTTGGCGGAGCTACGCGAGCGTCGCTCATCCGCTCCGCGCCGGGCAAAATTGCTGCACACGGCGCAGCCGGACATTCATTGGCTGGAGGGCCACGCCGCCCAGCCACACCACCCGTCTCCTCGGGCGCTCGCCGCAATTCATCCTCCCGCATTCCCGCAGCGATGCGATCTTGCTAGTGGCGGGGACAGGCCCCGGTGGTCCCCTCCGGTGCCGCCGCCTCTCTCTCCCTCTCTTTCTCTCCACGCCGCCGCCACCGCCACCCCGCGCCGCTGTCAGCGCGGCACGCGGATGCGGAAGAGGCCCTGCTCCATCTGCAGCTTGAAGAGGCGGCAGTTGGCGATGCGCAGGGCGGCGCAGCCGGTGCGGCGCAGGTCGGAGGGCAGCAGCGGCTTGGTGTGGTGCCACGTGCCCGTGTTGCGGCGGTACTCGCGCACAAAGTCGTACTGAGTCCCTGCGGATCGCGAGGGAGGATCGCGACAGGGCAGAGAGGGAGGACACGGGCGAGTCGGGATGATGATGAGAGCCTAGCTGTCCCATTACCTAAGTAATAGTCATCTAGCGATTATAGGTTTGATTGCTGGACGAATGGGATTACCGGAAAAAATACTTGGGAGAAAAACTAAATTTCCTCGCCAATCCCATGCGTGCCTCTGGACGGGAGGTGCTGGGTGGGGCCTGGCGACACCATCGGCCCTGTCAGGCTGCGCGTAGCTTGTAGGGGCAGCCAGCATGTTAACGCAGGTAGATTATAACTTTTAGTCAATTGATCGGCCTTGTTGCCAATTTCGTCCTGGCTCTAGGGAAGGAGCATGGGAGTGAGCACGAGGCGAGCACGAGGCTAGCACGGGGTGAGCGTGGGGAGAGCACGGGGGGAGTACGGGGTGAGCGCAGGGTGAGATCAGGGCGAATGTGAGATAAGTGCTCACCCGTGTCGAGGTCCCCGACCAGGTAGATGCTGGCGCCAATGGGGACGGCGCCGTACACGAAGGAGGCGGCCGACTGCACACTCAGCATCTGGTCCGTCAGGTAGGTCCACCTGGGCCACGCGAGCGCGGGGGAGGGGCGACCGTGGGCAGAGGGGGGAGGTGGGTGAGGGAAAAGTTTGGGATCACGCGGGCAAGTGTGCGGTTCTTCGTTCCGTGAGTGCGGTTTTGCGTGTGTGTGTGTACATTGTGTGTCTATTTACACGTTTGTGTGTGTGGTTGTACGCATCTGTGTGATTGTACGCACGTGTGTGATTGTACGCACGTGTGTGAAGTTGTACGCACATACTCTTTGGTTCTATTGGGTAAAGTCACGTAGGTGAAAATAAATATAAATATTTTCACCTACGTGACTTTACCCAATAGAACCAAAGAGTATGGATCCTAGCAGTCACGAAAGCTTTAAATCTAGAATTGTACGCACATGTCTAGTTGTACGTGCGTGGATGTGTGTGGTCGTGTGTGCGTGCGGTTGTACACGCACGTGCGCGTGTGCGCGCGTGACTCACCGCTTGACCTGATCGTGGTACATCTCCGACTTGCACGTCACCATCTGTCCCTCGGGCACGTTCTCTCCCTCCTTACGCCGCACGCCCCCGAACACGTAGAGCTCCTGGCCCACGCCACACGCCACCGCGCCGAACCTGCAACCGCCATCAATTCACGGCTGGATGAGCAACTCCCCCGAGCCGCGCATCGCGACTGTCCGTCTACCAGCTGCGCACGCACGAGCCGCGGCAGGTGTCCACTACACCGCAGGTGGCGTTTCCCTTCTCTGGCTGCCGCTCCGTCCTTAACCTCCACCCCCGGCCGTCGTCACCTCTAACCGTGACGCGTGCTGCCAATGCCTACTGACTTTCCCTCAGAGCCAGTGTGGCGTCTGTGGCTTGCAGCGTGTCCTCTGAACCACGCCCTCCGCTTTCTGCCTCTCGGTGGGATTCTGAGCATCGTTCACGACCCGCGCTGTCCGTCTCCGGGCCCCCTCTGTGTTTACGCGCACGTTACATGCCGGTCACCTGACCTCTGGGATCAAAGTGCAAAGTACCAGCAACCGCATAGGGCAGCCCATTTGGGTTGGGAATTGGGGGATTCGAGATTTCGGGGGATTAGGGAATCAGTTGATCAGAGATCAGTCAATCGGGGATTAGGAATCAGGGACCAGGATCGGGGGATAAGGGATCGTGGATGCCAGGCCGGGCTGGGAGTAGGGGTCGCACCGCCGTTCCTTGAGGGGACAGATCGCCGTCCACTGCTGCGTCTTGGGGTCGTAGCACTCGGCCGACTCAAACAGCTTCCCATAGCTGCCGCCTCCCATGGCGTAAATCTTCTTCCTCATCACAGCATAGCAACCGATCTGGCGGGGGTTGGGGGGGGTGAGGTTGGGGAGCAACAGGCAGGGGGACCGAGGGGATGAGGGTGTCAATAAATGGGGGGGTGGGTGCGAGCGGCCGTAGGAACCCGTCCGAGGGAGCTACCGGGCGACGCAACGGTTCGCCGACTTGCAGGGCGAAGTCGATGTTCTTACGCTCGTGGTGCACGCGTCGATGTTAGGACATCATGTGAGTTCGCAACGTCACGTGACCTGTCGTTCTATCGCAAAAAGATACTGCCAAAAGGCCGCCCCCCCTGCAGCTTCTCGTTCCGGGTCGGTTTCCTCCCGGCTCGCGTCTCTTGCTCCATCGCCACCTGGTGCTGGGGTACGGGGCGGCGGCAAGGGGGCTTTCGGTGGTGGGAGGGGGGAAGGGGTCCGGATGGGGAGGAGGGGCAAGCGGGGGATAGCGGCATGGCGCACCTTGCGCAGGATGGTGATGTCGGGCAGCAGCGACCACGTGTCGGTGTAGATGTCGTACGTCTCTCCCGACAGCAGCTCCGAAGTCTCGTCCTCACCGCCGATCACGTACAGGATCCCGTCGATGTGCACAATGCCAAAGTTCATGCGTGCCTGGGGTTGGCCGCAGGGATTCGGGTCAGAGTTTGGGTCAAGATAAGGGGATTAGTCAGGGTTATAGTTAGGGTTAGGGGGTACGGTTGAAGAGTCAGGGTTAGGGTTTACGGATTAGCGGGTTACAGTCAGCGCTAAGGGAGCCATCAAACAAGACGAAGAGGGGGGATGGGATCATTGGATTAATGACGAGGACCCCTTGGGTGGGGGGGGACCCCAGTGTGGGTGTGCGGAGCCCCCACCCCACCTCTCGCATGGGAGCGATGGCCGTCCAGCTGTTGTTGTCGGGGTTGTACTTCTCCCCGGAGCTCAGCACGGAGCTATCTCCATCCGACCCGCCGATCGCAAAGATAGATCCCTCTGAGCCACGGACATGGGAAGAGAGAAATAACGGCAGCGATCATCGCCGTCGCCATCATCATATCGTGTGCTGCACTGAATCCATCGACATGGCGCTGAACAACACGCGGCACACTCTGAACACGCGCCGGAAACTGTGACTGCTCAACCGCCAACACCTACGCGGCCGTAAAAATCGTCGTCATCATCATCGGCCATTGTCAATCAACTCCTGGATGAGGTCAAAACCCGGATTCCAACCCAAAATCTCAGTGGTGCCGAGTCAGTGCCTCCGACACGGCCATTATGAAACCGCCATCCGCCCCGAGCCGGTGGGCGCACCTGCGGAGACGACGCCGTGGTTGACGCGAGCGGTGCCCATGGGTGCCAGGTCGATCCACAGCTGCCGGTTCGGGTCGTAGAGCGGGCACATGCAGCGGACCGCCGCCGTCGGCTTGCGGGAGCTAGTGGTGCCGGCACGAGCGGCACGTACATACAAAGACAAAGATCCCCCGTGTAGCCTTAACAGACTGTTGGGGCGAGCGTTATCGGCGAGCGCCTATGAAGGCCGGCACGGCACACGAGGGGGTGGGTGACCAGCACCGCGTCCGGCCGCCTTTATAACACGCGCAGGGAATCATCACCGCGGAGACTTTCGTGGCGTGAAGATGCGACAGGAGAAGTGCACACGCTGGCGCTCACCCCCTCGCGCCGCTCCACTCAAAGAGAAGCGGCGCTTGGAGGCCACAAACCTTCCCAGAAGCGTAAATCAATAACGATGAGAAACCCTCCACTGGGATTACTGCCTCCGAATCGTAATCGCATCTCTGGCATGGGCGCGCCAAAACCCCGTTTTACCTCGTGCGGGCCGAGCAGAGCCCTCTCTCTAGGACACGCCCCCTCTCTCTACGACGCTCCCCCTCTCTCTACGACGCGCCCCCTCTCTCTCCGACGCGCAATACCGAGAGCCCTTCGGCACCACATCTGACGTTTCGCTCGGCGAACGTTCGCCTCCCCAAGAAGCGCAGCACCGACAGCCCGGGTCGGAGAGCCGCGGGGCGCAAGCGCGGAAGTGAGCGCGGCGGCCCTGTCGCACCTGCGCTCCTCCCCACCCACGGTGACGATGCACTCGGAGTAGCCTCGCGGGCGGAAGCTGGAGAGCAGCGCCTCTCCGCTGCGCGTCTCCGTGAGCGGGATGGCGCACTCCTGGATGATCACGCGCACCAGCGGCTCCCGCAGCATCTGCTCCTGCAGGAAGTGCGGGTCCAGCGTGTCGAGCCACACGGCCGCCATCACCTCCTTCATGTGCACCTGCCATGCCGGAGGGCGAGGGTCACAGATCGAGAGAGGGGTGAAAGGGGAGGAAAGGGAGGAGAGGATAGAGGATTGGAGAGAAGGGAAGGAGAGAGGAGGGGTGGGGACGGGCAGTGCCCAAGTGCTGGGCCGCGCGGGGATTAACTTCTCGCCCAACACTTTCTGGGTCGCCTCCAGCAGGCAGCACGTGACCGGCAGTTGGAGCAGCCGCCACAATCATAGCGACGAGAGGCATACTGGAAGCTGCGGTGCCAGACCCGGCTGGATTCAATGCCCGGCCGCACGGTAAACGCATTCGTGAGAATGACCGCAATCGGCAGTGGCAACGCTGGCACAATACAGGTGCTCCCCCCCACCTCCTCCTCCCACCTTGCGCTCCTCCAGGTCCCGCTTGAGCCACTGCAGCACAGCCTCGAACACGTAGCGCTCGTTGCCCACGTTGAGCTTCTCCAGGGACATGATCTCGCGCAGCTTGGAGGCCGACAGCTCCAGGAACTCGTCGGTGCCGCACACGTCGCGGAAGTGCGTCTCCAGGAACTCGGTGGCCACGTGGTGCACGTGCAGCAGGGAGTAGTGCAGCGCAAAGTCCCGGATGCCGATGCAGTTTTCGGCGACGATGCAGCCTTCCAGGAAATCGCAGCAGAGCGCCTTGAGGTCAGTGAGCAGCAGCAGGTCGGCACCCTGCACCATGTCCTGGATCGTCTCCTCGCTCAGGCGCACCTGGTGGGGGGGGGGGGCGGCGCAGCATGAACCGGCGAGCGCCCCGTCAAGCGTCGCGACGGGTACGAGGACCGGAAATTGTGACAGGCGACTTTGGTCGCGTCCGGTAATCTCGGGCCTCTTTAAAAATATGACGCCTGCCCCTCACATCCTACCTCCTGAAGGTGGGAAACCGCCCCCCCCTCTTTATTTTTATTAGTTGTAATACAGATTACAACATCGCAACAATTGTCCTTTGTCGTTTATCGAGAGAAATTCTTCGGCAACACATGTTGTACGAATGAGCGGTGCGTTCGAGCAAGCATGCGAGCTCCGTCGCCCACCTCCCCCGTGTAGATGTACTCCAGGATCTCGTGGATGACGCTCAGGCCGACTCCCTCCAGGGTGATCTTGAACACCGTGCCGTTGTTCTTGGGCGGCGAATAGTTGAACTTGGTGCTGTAACGACGACAACGATAGCGACGGGCGTTCGGTCAAGACGGCGAACACCGCGGATGCGCAGCACGGTGCGGTGCCCCGGCGGTGCCGCGCGAGTCCCTGCTGGCCCCGCCGCGTCCTCCGCCCGGCGGCCACGTGTGCCGGGCTGGGCCGACAAGAGGCTCGTTTGTCTCGCAACACCGCCCCGGGGGGCGACGCGAACGCCGCGCGTTATCACGCGCGTCCCCACGCGTGACGCGCCAACCCACGCGTACGCACAGGCTCGGGGTGCCTGTCTGTTTATTCCGAGTGGGTCACTGATGGCGTCATCGCCCGCTGCTCTCTTGTTGCCGATGGGTTTCTTTGTTTCGTGGAGTCTGTCGATCGTCCCGCCCATCGTCCCTGCTAACCCGCGTCCAGCTCTCCCACGTGTTTGTATCTCGTGACCCCAACCCTGACACAAGCCCCAGTTTTGCACGTTCGCCAGCCTTTTCCGAGGTGAAACCACGTAACGCACGCCACGGGCCCTTGCCTAATGCTGACCGCCGTGTTGCTGCTGCTGCTGCTCTTCAGCTTTATCCATGTTTGGTGGTGGTGCAGCCCACATTGGGGGTGCATCACCTAATTACTATAATTGTACAATAGACAAGTTTATATAAGTTAATTACATCGCAGTTGTGCGATATGATTAAGGTAATAGACACATTGCGAGAAAAAATTGAGGTGGTTTTTTTTCTGTTTTATCTCATATTCGGAACACCCTATGTTTTAAGTACCTGGGGCCCCTTGAGTCTCTTGGGACCCTACTGCTCTAGTTTGGATTTCCCGGTGCCGCCACTCTCCTTGCTCCTCAGGGGAAAGGGACTTTAAGCGGAGGTCTTTAGCAGGAGCACGGAGGTCGCGAAAGCTTTCAGCATGACCGTGACCTAACCTCACCTGATCTAACGTGACCCGGCCGGCCACTGTTGCTAGGGGGGTGAATGCGCCCGTGCCTCCTCTCTGTCCCCGCCCATCCCGGCCGGGTGAGTCACGGTTTCCTTGCCACCGAGGGCGTGGGCCATCGCGCCATCGCGCCAGAACCGGCGTGTCCCGACACATTCCACCTGGCGGCAGGTAACTCGCAGCGGCTCCTTCAACGCCTTACACGTGTACAGTTCTCTACAATACCACATTTTCTGGCACGTGTTGTGACGGGTACTGCAAGATCCGACTATGTCCGTCCAGTGCTTGCCGAGCTTCTAGTTGCCGAACGAATCGATTATAAAGTTGCACTCATTACACACAAAGCACTTGCCAAAAATTAACCCCAATGCCTTGCTGATCTCGCCAAGGAGCACCTCCGATTAGCACGGTTGGCTACGTATGGTGCGAAAGAAGTTCAACATATATAATACCTCATTGTACTACCGGCGCTCACAACTACTGACGCTCACCGCACCGCCCACTCATCCCCACAGCCACTCACCGCACCAGCCCCCAAGTACCATGCACGTGTGCAGCTTCACCTCACAACTCATCACACAGCCACTCAACAAAATGCGCTCACCACTCACCCCCGCCTACCCCCTCCCTATTCCCTCACTGTCCACAAGCCGATAATTTGGATCTGGATTAAGGGCATCTGAGTGAGGAGCCCCCCCCCCCAACCCCCGCCCTAAACGACACCACAGCGGATTACCGCGGGCGTGGGGGAGAGACGCAGCCGCCGTCCCCATTTCACCGTGGGAACCGGGCAACAGGGCCCCGGGGTCGGGCTGCCACCTCTGCAAGGCACAAAGTCTGGGGCGTGTCACGGGAAGAGGAACGTCTCTCTTCGTGACCGCTCCTTGTAGAGCACACGGAAGGGTGAAGGTGCCGGGCACGGCAGGGGCCTCGTGTAGGTGAGAGGCACAGCAGCCGGGCGTTCTGCTGATATACTTTGGGTTGCGCTCGTGCTGGATTTGATCGCTGGGTTGAGAAACCTTCAGTACACGGGGACTGAATGGTGGGGTGGGGGGCAGGAAGTCAGGAGCACGGAGAGCGGAGTAAATGCATTTCAGACTGAGGAGGCAGAAGACGAATTTGAAGGCAGTTTCTCGTGGGATATTATTGTTTGAGATGGCTGATCGCCCACTTAAGTCAGGATAAAAATCACGTGAGGTAGTTGTGGTGGTGTCGTGCTATCGGTTTAATTAGGGAGGGAAGCTGACAGGATGTGAATTCACGGCTGCGTGCCACATGTCCCACTCACCCGGCACAGCTACTCACACGAGCCACTGACGTGCCCGAGCTGGTCAGATCTCGCAATCTAAGCAAGTCCCGGCCTGGTTGGTACTCGTATGGGAAGACTGCCGTGGAAAAACCAGGTGTTGTCGGTGGTGTTGGAGATGGCAGGAGCTGTAGGTTCAGTCCAGAGGTTATTCCGTGCATTGGGTCCATCTGTGCGGAGCTGCGTTGTCCCCTCGTGTAGGCGGTGGGGTTTCTCCCGGGTCCCCCAGTGGGGTTTTCCCTCTCACACGAAGCCAGACTCTTTATTACGATGGCATTCCTGGCCGACCATCCCAATGTGGTGTTCACCCTTCTAACAAGGCCTCGGTGTGGCTCTCTTGTATATTTAAATTAAAATATCGTCAATCAACGCACACGAATGCATCGTTAGTTAAAAGGCGTATTAAATGTGCACGTGCTATATGATATAACACGAGACTGTACACAATGTAAACGGTGTGCGACTGTGTATCTTTCGATTTAAAGTGTATATCTTGCTTGTGAACAGCAGAGGGCGGTGCAATAACATGAATGATTGAACTGTACTTCTATGCTCCCCCGTAATTCACCAACCCGCTGGGATGCAGCGTGGTGAAGTATGGCGAAACAGCACCAACACTGACGAGGAACTGAACTAAAACTGAAAAGTGCTTAAAGAAGCACTGCACGCAGGGTGTTGTTGGCATGCTCGGGGGGGGGGGGGGGGGGGGATACGAGCGGCGGGAATACGGCAAGACACGACGAGAGGCGGGAAGACGGCAGGAGACGACGAGGGAAGACGTCAAAGAGACGACGAGCGCGGCCTGCAGGACACGCGGAGGTCTCGAGACGTCGCCGCCACACGCCACTGCGAAGAGAGGCGAGCGCCCCCCCCCCGACTGACGGGGCGCACCCCACGCCGGAGTCCCACACGGCAGAGGAGGGGACGCCACGGGGGGTGGTGGGGACGCCACGGGGGGTGGTGGGGACGCCACGGGGGGTGGTGGGGACGCCACGGGGGGTTGTGAGGCCTTTATCCAGCAGTGGATTGATCACGGCCGATGTGACGATGTGGCGAGCGCGTGAGATGCGTGAGCTGGCGCATGCGACAGAAGGCGAGCTGGGGGTGGCTGTGGGGGGTTTGTTTACCTCGGGAGGGGAGGGGAAACCCGCACAGAAAGAGCTGCGCTCAGCATGGAAACGACGAGGGGGAGCCAATGATGAGTTCAGTCCGACGGTAGCGTACCCCCTAAATGAGTCTCTGAGTGCCGGGGAGCCCTCCCCTCCTAAGCGGTACTAGTCCTTATGTCGGGTCCCGCTCAGTCTCTGGTTCCAGATCTCTCGACGCTTTGGTACAAGGCCCTATCATTGAACCCAGGACCGCGACGTCTTATATCCCTAGATCTAACGAACCTCGGTTCCAAGTCCGAGTGCTCCCCCAACCCATAAATGGGCCATAGCCGTGATCTCCTGGTCTTAAGGTCTTCAGACCCATGATCGAGTTCCTCCTCTCACGGATTCCCGATCCTTGCCCTGTCAGTGATCCCCAGTGTTTGACCCCCCGTGCCACGTATCCCAGGTCCCAGGTTCCCCCGTCAGATTCTCTGCTCCCAGATCCCGCTAACCCCCAGCCATCAGGTTCCCGTCATTCACGGTCTCATCCCAGGTTCCTGCTCCCACTCCCGTCCGACTCACCCCCCCCCCCCCTGTCACAGAGACCAACGCCGTCACCGCAACCGCTCTCACCTCTCCTGTCAGCGATCTCCAATCCCTGATCCCCAGGTTACTCCAATCCCTGATCCCCAGGTTACTCCAATCCCTGATCCCCAGGTTACTCCAATCCCTGATCCCCAGGTTACTCCAATCCCTGATCCCCAGGTTACTCCAATCCCTGATCCCCAGGTTACTCCAATCCCTGATCCCCAGGTCACTCCAATCCCTGATCCCCAGGTTACTCCAATCCCTGATCCCCAGGTTACTCCAATCCCTGATCCCCAGGTTACTCCAATCCCTGATCCCCAGGTTACTCCAATCCCTGATCCCCAGGTCACTCCAATCCCTGATCCCCAGGTTACTCCAATCCCTGATCCCCAGGTTACTCCAATCCCTGATCCCCAGGTTACTCCAATCCCTGATCCCCAGGTTACCCCAATCCCTGATCCCCAGGTTACTCCAATCCCTGATCCCCAGGTTACTCCAATCCCTGACCCCAGGTTACTCCAATACCTGATCCCCAGGTTACTCCAATCCCTGATCCCCAGGTCACTCCGTCCTGTCACCAGAGGTTCGCCCGGGGGGGTAATCTGCGACCATCGCCCCTCACCGTATGTAGGGGCTGACCGCCGCCAGGAGGTTCCTCTGCACGGGGATCTCGGCACCGTCCACCACGAGGGCCGAGTCGCAGAAGATGGGGTCCTCGCGGAACGAGCGAAGGTTCTTGAGCAGCTTGCGCGAGTGCTGCGGGTCGCTGAACAGGGACGAGCCTCCCTCCCCGGCCGCCGCTCCACCAGCCGAGGCGGCGGCGGCTTCTGCTGCCCCCGGCTGCTTAGCCATGTCCGCAGCCTCCCTTCCTCCTCTTGCTTGTCGCGTCCTCAGCCTTGCCACCACCCCACCACCTTACCACCACCCCGTCGTCGTCTTGTTGTTGTTGTCGACGCGAGTCGCTCCGAGTCTGCTCCGCTGAGCCGGCGGCCCCCGTGTGCAGGGCGCGTGGGGGGCGGGGCAGTGGGGGGCGGGGCAGTGGGGGGACGCGTGACGTCATCTGAGGCGTGTTGAGGCGCGCCACGCCGGTATGTGGTGGTGGCGGTGTTGTGGTCCGCGTTGGCCTCAACGTGCACATAGCCTGGCACAAGCGCCGCGGTGATGTTACCGCCACCTAGTGGCCAGGATCTGAACCGCGCCTGAGGTCGACTCGAGCTCCAATGAGCACGGTTGGCTACGTGCGGTGCGAAAAAAGTTCAATAATCGGACAAATGAGTACCTGTTGCGATGTGTAATCATCGCCACGAGAGAGACAAAGGCGGCCGGGCGTGGTGCTGGCCACCCACGCCCTCGTGCCGACCTTCATATGTGCTCGCTAACAGCCCTAACAGTCTGTTAAAAGACTTTACGGGTGATGTCTTTTGGTGGTGCTGGTTTTGACACCAATTATACAAAATACATCACCTTTTCCAATGACAACAGCGCTTCATTGCGAGAGAAGTACACACACGTGTGTGGAATGGGCTGACATTTTGGGCAATGGTCATTCAGCAACGCAGCAATTGGAGGTCACAATGTCCGGGTACGGGCGACGTTTGAATGACAGCGGCACCCCACATCCAGCGGTGCCTCTCACTACCACCGAGCTGCCGGCAATTCGCTCCTGCGGCACAAGTCGCTGCTGGAACTCTGCCGGCGAACTCAGGAGAAGCCGAGTGGGAAATGAAGCTCTGGCCAGGTGTGGGGGGAGAGATAACGGGGAGATGCCGAGGAAAGGCGACTCGCGATTCATATGAAACACGAGTCAGAGTTGAGAAAGGGCATATCAGCACCTGGCGCTGTCTCACAAGTACGATTCGATGTAAACTGTACACAATTATTGAAACGAGACTGATGTGAGGCTCGTGTATTTCGAGCGGACAAAAAGTGTGCAAATTAGACAAAAAGAATGGAGAATCAAAACAAATTAAACGGCAAAATATTCTCCATTCCTGCACCACCAATTCCGAAACGCGTAATCGTCGTGGCTTCACAGCCTCGCTGAGAAAGATGCCAACCACTGGGATCCCCCGTGTTGGGGCGATTGCTGCAAGCGAGTAGCAGCACCTACGAAGGCCGGCACGGCACACGAAGGGGGTGGGTGGCCAGCACCACGCCCGGCCGCCTTTGTCTCCCCAGTGGCGATGTCCACTCCGCACCGCTCCCACGTAACTCTTTCGTGGTGGCGGAGACCTAAGATGGCAGCCATGGCTTCACCGCTCGTACCGTCACGTGTGCCGCGCGGGCGAATCACATGCAACAGCGGGGCGGGGGGAGGAGGAGAATGTCATCCCCGACATTTCGTCCAATCAATTCAAACTTCACTAAAACCGCCTTCCTCCGTGACGTCACCAGCGGCTCGCGTCCAATGGCGAGGCGAGGTTCGCGTCGGCGGCCAATGGGAGCGCGCGTCAGGGGCGCGGGCGCGTCACGGGGGCCGCGTTTTAAATTTTGCGCGGCCGTTGGCGCCGAATCCCGGGAAGCTCGCGGCCGCCTTCGTCTCGCCTCTGCGTGTCGCCCGCAACATCGACGCCGCTGTTGTTGCTGCTGTTGTTGCTGTAAGTCGTCGGCGCCGCGACTTGCCGCGTGACTGTTGTTGTGAGGTTTGGTTTGCTGCTGTGTGCGTCTCCTCCCCCGCCCGCCACGGTTTGTGAATATTCGCGCTCGGCTGGGATGCGGCAAATCGGCTGGGTCGGCACCGCGTCCACTGCTGCGTGAGCTGCAGCGGAATCTCGAGCGAGTGCCCGGCCACAGCTTCGGCGTCGCTTCGCTTACCGGACGAGGACTCCCTTCGCGAGCGCCGCGTGGGTCCTGGCCGGGAGCGGTGGTGTCATTTGACCGCACCTCACGTCGGCTCGGTGCGGGTTGCTGTGAAGGCGGGGAGAGTAAAAGTGCAATGCGGTTTGATAAGTGTCCGTGTTTTTAGTCGGTGGGTCGTAACGATGTTGGTGACGCGAGGTTAATCACGGGCGCCGGGTCGTGATTTTAAGGGCCTGTTGATCGATGAAACTTGTCCGGACTGGTCTCCCGTCATGGGAATGTAGAATGCCCGATACTGGCAAGAGAGATGCGATGCATAATTTAGCGAATGATTGACAGCCGTCGTCGTTATGTCACTTGCACGCTTAAATTTAAATTGGAGGGGAAGGTTTAGACCCGAAGTGTTTTATTATAAGTGTCAAATGGCCTGGCGTTTATAATAATACAATCGCGGCCTGTGGTGTGAAGTTTAGAGTTGGGTTTTGAACAAACGATGGGCCCTGGGTTTGATTCCTCCTGTGGGTAGCGGCCATTTCACAGCGTGAGACCGCTTGCACTTTTAAATGGCATACTCTTTGGTTCTATTGGGTAAAGTCACGTAGGTAAAAAATAAAACGACAAAAATCACGACGTTTCGGCCACAACACAAGCGGCCTTCATCGTCGTGATTTTTGTTGTTTTATTTTTTACCTACGTGACTTTACCGAGTAGAACCAAAGAGTGGATCCTTACAGTCACGAAAGCTTTAAATCTAGAATTTTAAATGGCATCTTGAGCCCGGCTGGGCGAGTTAATTCACTTTGTGTCATTTTAACCAATTTTTTGGTGATGTTGCCTTGGCAGTGGTGATGTGCCCTGAAGAAAGACCATTGCCTGAAACGTCACAGATTATATATACTTTTTACGCCCACAGTGTTGTATGTAGAACTTATTTTGCAACGTACTTGGCCAACCGTAATGATCAGAGATGCGGTGGAAGGACAACACTGAACACAAAAAGCAGTTGTTGGCGAGTGTGGGTTCTTTTGTTATTAATTTAGTTTTCTTGATTTAAATTGATTTAAAATGTGTTGGCCGTCTCTCCCGACATTCAGCCTCGAGAATGAACTCGAAGGAAAACAGCGATCCACACACTGCGAACGTGAGTGCAGAACACAAGGGGGAAGCTGCTGCCAATCCACTTCATAGCAACAACAATCGGGGCCCTACGGTGGCCCTACGGTGGCCTCTTGGGCATGGCCCGCTCTGAGCTTTAAATAGGAACAGATTAGTAAGATAAAAGATAAACAAGAGATGGATATGGGACAACTGGGGAAGAGAGGTAGAGAATAGTGGTCACATGCTCTGATGTTATGTCACGAAAGTTGAATGATCTGCCCCAGTGGAAAATGCATGGAGGAGCTCTGGTGTAGAGCATGACCACAATCGTCTGTCACGTCATCTACACAATGGGCATTGCAATCATCCACACCGCCGTCTACATCTTTAACATATTGCCACAGTCAACGCTACTCATCCCTCCCCCAAGGATAATTCACAGCTTATACATCCAACATTTTCCCTTTTGTAGATTCTGTTCCATTGAATATTAGAATAGGACAAAACTGCTCATTCAAATCAGAATTCCCTTTTACATCAAATAAGTTGGATAACTTTTACCATTTCTCTTTCACGGCAACTGCTCGGGTCAGCTGCTGCGATTGACGCATTGGTTATACAGCTGTGAGTGATGATTACACTGTAACAAAATAAGTTGTCCCTGGGTAGTAAGTGTTATTTTCTAATTGCTTATGCCTCAAAAGTACAGAAAATGGCTGCTATTCCCCACAGTTTGCTTTTGTGACCAGGGCAGTGATATTTTGAAATTGACCTATTTTCAATGAGAAAACGTGGTGTGCATTTGTGTCATTCCTTCACGTAAAGTCCTGCTCACAAAAGCAAAGTTTGTGGGGAATAGCTATTTTCTATACTTTTTAGGCATAAGCAATTAAAAAATAACACTGCCCAGGGACAAAAATTGTGTTATATAGAATTCATCACATAGAGCTTATGTCCACTTAGGACTCGTTCCCCGTGTCACAAATGTAAGAATTATGAAGGATGTGTATTTTCTCATGTTTCTGAGTAGGATGCTTTTTTGGAAGGACATTTTAAACCATCCTGTACATTTCCACAACACCTATTTTAATAAACAGCACTTGTTTGATTATATATATAAAAAATACAATATTGAATTCACATACACTCATATGCCATCATGCATTGCAATGCCTTCACTACCAGAAGAAGTATTTCCACCATAAGCCTCTGCAAAGTGTCCTGTGTGACTGAACACTCGATCCTCAAGAATCACTCGAGTGCATGGGAAGTGCTATATGAATAATAAATGCTGATTTGTCTGTGGTGCAGCTGGTGGGGGCTGGCGGGTCAGGGGATGCTAAGCTCCTCCTGAATAAGATGACGAGTGGCGCTCGACCTGCGAATCCCACGGGGCATAACAACCTGCCCCAGCGCATCCCTGTGGGGCCCAAATCGCTGAGCCAACAGCAGCAGCCACAGCCGCCAGCGCCCTCATCCACACAGCCTGGTCTATACCTCCACTCACTCCGCTACTCTCCACACAGCCTGGTCTATACCTCCACTCACACCGCTACTCTCCACACAGCCTGGTCTATACCTCCACTCACACCGCTACTCTCCACACAGCCTGGTCTATACCTCCACTCACACCGCTACTCTCCACACAGCCTGGTCTATACCTCCACTCACTCCGCTACTCTCCACACAGCCTGGTCTATACCTCCACTCACACCGCTACTCTCCACACAGCCTGGTCTATACCTCCACTCACACCGCTACTCTCCACACAGCCTGGTCTATACCTCCACTCACACCGCTACTCTCCACACAGCCTGGTCTATACCTCCACTCACACCGCTACTCTCCACACAGCCTGGTCTATACCTCCACTCACACCGCTACTCTCCACACAGCCTGGTCTATACCTCCACTCACACCGCTACTCTCCACACAGCCTGGTCTATACCTCCACTCACACCGCTACTCTCCACACAGCCTGGTCTATACCTCCACTCACACCGCTACTCTCCACACAGCCTGGTCTATACCTCCACTCACACCGCTACTCTCCACACAGCCTGGTCTATACCTCCACTCACACCGCTACTCTCCACACAGCCTGGTCTATACCTCCACTCACACCGCTACTCTCCACACAGCCTGGTCTATACCTCCACTCACACCGCTACTCTCCACACAGCCTGGTCTATACCTCCACTCACTCCGCTACTCTCCACACAGCCTGGTCTATACCTCCACTCACTCCGCTACTCTCCACACAGCCTGGTCTATACCTCCACTCACACCGCTACTCTCCACACAGCCTGGTCTATACCTCCACTCACTCCGCTACTCTCCACACAGCCTGGTCTATACCTCCACTCACACCGCTACTCTCCACACAGCCTGGTCTATACCTCCACTCACACCGCTACTCTCCACACTGCCTGGTCTATACCTCCACTCACACCGCTACTCTCCACACAGCCTGGTCTATACCTCCACTCACACCGCTACTCTCCACACAGCCTGGTCTATACCTCCACTCACTCCGCTACTCTCCACACAGCCTGGTCTATACCTCCACTCACACCGCTACTCTCCACACAGCCTGGTCTATACCTCCACTCACTCCGCTACTCTCCACACAGCCTGGTCTATACCTCCACTCACACCGCTACTCTCCACACAGCCTGGTCTATACCTCCACTCACACCGCTACTCTCCACACTGCCTGGTCTATACCTCCACTCACACCGCTACTCTCCACACAGCCTGGTCTATACCTCCACTCACACCGCTACTCTCCACACAGCCTGGTCTATACCTCCACTCACTCCGCTACTCTCCACACAGCCTGGTCTATACCTCCACTCACACCGCTACTCTCCACACAGCCTGGTCTATACCTCCACTCACACCGCTACTCTCCACACAGCCTGGTCTATACCTCCACTCACTCCGCTACTCTCCACACAGCCTGGTCTATACCTCCACTCACACCGCTACTCTCCACACAGCCTGGTCTATACCTCCACTCACACCGCTACTCTCCACACAGCCTGGTCTATACCTCCACTCACTCCGCTACTCTCCACACAGCCTAGTCTATACCTCCACTCACACCGCTACTCTCCACACAGCCTGGTCTATACCTCCACTCACACCGCTACTCTCCACACAGCCTGGTCTATACCTCCACTCACACCGCTACTCTCCACACAGCCTGGTCTATACCTCCACTCACTCCGCTACTGTCCACACAGCCTGGTCTATACCTCCACTCACACCGCTACTCTCCACACAGCCTGGTCTATACCTCCACTCACACCGCTACTCTCCACACAGCCTGGTCTATACCTCCACTCACTCCGCTACTCTCCACACAGCCTAGTCTATACCTCCACTCACACCGCTACTCTCCACACAGCCTGGTCTATACCTCCACTCACTCCGCTACTCTCCACACAGCCTGGTCTATACCTCCACTCACACCGCTACTCTCCACACAGCCTGGTCTATACCTCCACTCACACCGCTACTCTCCACACAGCCTGGTCTATACCTCCACTCACTCCGCTACTCTCCACACAGCCTGGTCTATACCTCCACTCACACCGCTACTCTCCACACAGCCTGGTCTATACCTCCACTCAAACCGCTACTCTCCACACAGCCTGGTCTATACCTCCACTCAAACCGCTACTCTCCACACAGCCTGGTCTATACCTCCACTCACTCCGCTACTCTCCACACAGCCTGGTCTATACCTCCACTCACACCGCTACTCTCCACACAGCCTGGTCTATACCTCCACTCACACCGCTACTCTCCACACAGCCTGGTCTATACCTCCACTCACACCGCTACTCTCCACACAGCCTGGTCTATACCTCCACTCACACCGCTACTCTCCACACAGCCTGGTCTATACCGCTACTCTCCACACAGCCTGGTCTATATATACCTCCACACCGCTACTCTCCACACAGCCTGGTCTATACCTCCACTCACACCGCTACTCTCCACACAGCTTGGTCTATACCTCCACTCACTCCGCTACTCTCCACACAGCCTGGTCTATACCTCCACTCACTCCGCTACTCTCCATACAGCCTGGTCTATACCTCCACTCACACCGCTACTCTCCACACAGCTTGGTCTATAACTCCACTCACACCGCTACTCTCCACACAGCCTGGTCTATACCTCCACTCACACTGCTACTCTCCACACAGCCTGGTCTATACACACCTCAACCTCCACTGACACCCCTATCCTCCAGCTAAAAGTTATTTTTGTTCTGATTCATATTTCCTTCATGGCTGTAGTTTGTTTCTTTTTAATTTTGTCATTTTGGTGACTCGTCACTCAAATGACTCCTGGTCTCCTTCAGTTCTCAGCTGGTTAAAGAAAATAACTTAACTTCAAACTCTTCACAGCCTCGTCTATACAGTACACTCTTGGGATGTGTTTCTGATTTCTTCTGTCTTCATGAGTCCTCTGCTCTCTTAACAAGTCTCTGCTGTCTGTTGCAGAGGCGGAAGCGTCTTCGTCACAGGCGGGTGGCAACCCCAACGACGTGGCCAAGACAAAGTGGGTTGAACCCCGTTTAACTCTATAAACACACACACACTTGTGTACGACCAACTCGCACACCTACACGTACATCAGGCGATAGTGGCGCATACCTGTAATCCAACACTGGAGGCAGCAGCAATGGTTGGTGGATCACACACGTGTTGGTGTTGTGAAAATCCCTTCTCATGGGGGTCGAGGAGGAGCTATTCCCTGGCTCGTCAGGAAACGGTGAAATAAATGTGGACTTCACCTGTTCCATCAGTATGGGATAGTGTTGCCCCCTCGCATGTGTACGTTTTCCCCAGGTGTTGTGCTTTCCTCCCACATGTAAACACTTATTGGTCAAAACAGCTTAATATATAGAAAATTGCAGAACTTGCGCAGTTATTGGTGTCGGCTCACTGCCTGGCTGCCTTCCCTCTCATCGGTGGTTCCTTGCACCTCCTGAGTCGTTCTTTCTCCTTGAGAGTGATATTATGCGACTGTTTTTTTTATATATATATGGTGCTGTGAGGTGGCCAGGAGATGGCGGTACAGATATGGATTCAATCCACATTATTCAATATATTTAATCTATCTGATTTAACCATCTTGAGATTAACCCCCAAGTGTGCCTTGTGGGTTTTCTGATTTCCTCCCCCATGAAGCTGCCGTCTAATTCTGGAATTGACCAAGAATCCTAATCCAGCAGGACCCTCCTGAAAGAGTGAGACTTGGCGAGGCTTTTCCAGATATGTAATAAATGCACCATCCTTGTCGGTGCACGCGCGGGCCCTGCTGATGATGGATCTGGTGGGCCTGGCTCCCCGTGTTGCAGGAAGCAGTGGTCGCTGGACAACTTTGACATTGGGCGGCCGCTGGGCAAGGGTAAGTTTGGCAACGTGTACCTGGCGCGGGAGAAGAGCACCAAGTTCATCCTGGCGCTCAAGGTGCTCTTCAAGTCTCAGCTGGAGAAGTCAGGTGTGGAGCACCAGCTGCGGCGCGAGATTGAGATCCAGTCGCACCTGCGGTGAGCGCTCGCGGTCCGGAGAGACTTTTTTTTCTCGGGTTCACCCAAATTGTCATTCTTAATGTAATTGACTCAATGTGATTCAATACTCGCGGTATGGCGATTCGATACTGGTTTTCCACAACCTTTAATTGACGTTTCCTTATCTACATCCGCACCCCCTCTGCCCATCCGTCTCCTTGTAACCCCATCCCCTCACCCCCCTCTCTTATCTCTGCCCCCTCCTCCTTCCCCTTGGCCCGACACAGGCACCCGAACATCCTGCGCCTCTATGGCTACTTCCACGACCGCACGCGTGTCTACCTCATCCTGGAGTATGCTCCGCGCGGGGAGCTCTACAAGCTGCTGCAGAAGCTGGGGAAGTTTGACGAGGAACGCAGCGCCTCGGTGAGACTCCTGCCACATCCTGGACCTTGTTGCCGTGATTGACCCCCCTCCCCCATTGGTGAGGTGCGGGTGTGCCAGCATGTTTTGTGACACCCGTGCTGTGATGCGTGTGCAGTACGTCGCGGACATGGCGGACGCACTTATATACTGCCACTCGAAGAAGGTGATCCACCGCGACATTAAGCCTGAGAACTTGCTGCTGGGCCTCAAGGGAGAGCTCAAGATCGCCGACTTTGGGTGGTCGGTGCACGCGCCCTCCTCCAGGTACACAAGTGGCTAGTGGGGCGAGTAGCTGCTGGGGTGAGTGGTGGAACATGCTTATATGCCATATGCTCTCTCCATGTACAATAGCAGAGGTGTATGGAATTTCAACAGGACAGAAAGCTCTGCTTTATTAACCTGGTCAAAGCATATGATACAATAAATAAGCTAGGGCTCTGGGTTATTCTTCATGCTTTCAGAGTCCCAGACCCTCTGCTCACAATCATTAAGGACCTTCATGATGGTGGGCAGGCCTGGGTAAAGCTGTGTGGCTGGGTGTCGAAGCCATTTTCTTTTCACCTAGGGGTGTGACGGATGTCCTCTGGCCCCTACACTATTTAACATCTTTGACCACGTAATTCGTGAAGCTTTCCATGGATGTACCAGTGGAATTTCAATCTGGTAAAGATGCAATGGGAGGCTGATCATTGCCTGGGTGCTGTCAAGGGATGGCTTCCTATTGGTCAACCATGTTGTGTGGCTGATCTAGTCATTACTGCCCAACTGGAGAAGTTGGAGATGCTACTGCTGAACCTGGAGCATGCCACTAACTGATGGGGCCTTACCATCAGCCAGCAGCTTAATGGCTGCAACACAGGCTAGAGGAGAGATGGACTGTGGTACAGAAATATCTGCATCTGATTGGACTGATCAATGACTAATACTAGCGGTGTCAAGATCGGCCTCTGGAGGAAGCTCATGGAGGATGCTACTGGGCAGTTGGAGGCAGCGGCCCTCCAATAACATGGCAGATGAAAGACTCACAACAATGAGCAGAGCGCTGGGCGGCTAAAACGCAACAAGTTGGAACAGTGGGGAGCACAGGCTGCATGTCAGTCCATAAACCCATAGCACCTGGGTCTGTCCTGTGACATCCTGCCAGCGATCCTTCGACACTTCACTTGGTCTTGGGTTACACCTCGCCTGGCACAGGTGCCGTGGTGACCTCACCACCACTTAGTGGTAAACAGCGGTTGTTGGTGGAGCGTGCGGGTGTGTGCATTGGTTATGGGGTGGGCGAATGCGTGCGAGTAGTGGAGTGACTGGGTGAGAGGGCCGTTGTGTGCGACTGACGGAACGAGTGAGCAGGTGACTGGTGAGCAGTCGGTGTTTAATGATGCTCGCACCCAATTTGTGGATGGGAAACGATTTATGTAGGACTCGTGTAAGTTGTTTCCGAGCGATGCGTTCGTGTTGTAATGTAGGCTAATGGAACGAGGATAGTTGTACAAATGAGTTGGCGTGTGCACGCGCGTACACAGGCGCGCGACTCTGTGCGGCACGTTGGACTACCTGCCACCCGAGATGATCGAGGGGCGCACGCACGATGAGAAGGTGGACTTGTGGAGCCTGGGCGTGCTCTGCTACGAGTTTCTTGTCGGGCGCCCGCCCTTTGAGTCAGAGACCCACAACGAAACCTACCGCCGCATCTCCAAGGTGAGGGTTGGGTGGCGGTGGCCTGTTTGGTCCGTAGGATTGGTCCATTCGGCAGGGACTGCACAAAGATCAATCTTTAACTAAGCCCGGTTAACATTTTCTGTTTGTTTAATTGGTCAAATAACAGCTTCCGTTTGGAGGTGGGTTAGAGGTCAGAGCACTGGTTTATCATGTGTAGCGAGTTGACGATCACCAGTGACTGCACAAAAAAGTACTCGTGTGAAACTTGAGTTTTTTACTTAATTTAAACTCAAATATGTTACATGAACTGTTGCTTTCCCCGAATAGTTAGCCTCAGGAAGGTAAACGCAGTGCTCTGTTCAATTGTTTATTTCTGTTGGTGCTCCTGGACTTGTTTTCTACTTGCACGAGGCACGGTATTGAGTGATAAATGATAATCGCTCCACTCGCTCTTTCTCTCCCAGGTGGACCTACGCTTCCCATCACACTTGAGCGATGGAGCCAAGGACCTGATTGCAAATCTGCTGAAACACAACCCCCACACCCGCCTGCAGCTCGCTAGCGTCTTGCAGCACCCCTGGGTCAAGGCCAACGCCAAACGCATTGTGCCGCCCGCCTACACCGCTGCCACCACCACCAGTGCCACCACCACCAGTGCCACCACCAGTACAGCCAACTGAGGCCAGGGCTACCTTCCTCCAATCGCGTGGGTGTAAGTTCTTGTACTGGTGCACATAATATGGAGTTAATCAAGTGGAGACGCTTTTTGGTGGGAGTGGAGTGGGTGAGGCCTGCCCTGGGGGTGTGATGGAGGCATGTGGAGCTGTCTGCCTGACTGCATCTAGAACCTGCTGCTAGCGTGTCGATGCCTCCATTACTGTCGATGCAAGTTTATCTTCACGTGACACCCTCAGCAAAGAGAGGTCCGACACTCACCGCAGTGTTTGAGAGTTAAGAGGTTATGAATGATGAATCATTACAGGCCTCGTGGTAATCCCGTTCTGATACTATTTGTTGGTCTAGTGCAGCATGTTAATCTTTTAACTTGTTTGTCATGTTTATCGCTGTGTGAATGATTGCAGAGATGACTGGGGGATGGGTGTACATTTATTTTAATATACAAAACTTGCAGGTGGGTGTTTGAGTGCATGAACTGCGTAGACACTTCTAGATTTGAAGCTTTTGTGACTGCAAGGATCCATACTCTTTGGTTCTATTCGGTAAAGTTACGTAAAAAAAATCACGACGTTTCGGCCACAACACAAGTGGCCTTCATCAAGGCCACGTGTTGTGGCCGAAACGTGATGTTTGTTGTTTTTTACCTACGTGACTTTACCGAATAGAACCAAAGAGCATAGACATCACTTGTCTCTTTTAATGAGCTGGTCATGATTGGTTCCGAGTTTGCCTGCCTCTCACCCAAACGAACCCAGCCTGCGCTGCTGTGAGCATTGCTCCGTGTCGGACGGTTGTGCTCCCAGGAGATCTGTGGGTCGCTGTAAATAGTCCACTGGAGCGAGTGTGAGAGTTTGTTTCACAGTTCATTTTTTGCCTAATAAATAAAGACCAATAAAATGTTTTCTGCTCAGGATTTTTTAAAACAAATTTTCTCATTCAAAGAACTTCATATTTATTCATTCACATACATTACACAAACTCGGCCTTCTAAGTGCCAGTTTCATTTAAAGCAATGATTATTAATCCATAACAGGTCATGGTTAGTGCGATTCACCATATGGACAGCATGGATACTGCTACAGTTGCATATTCAAGTGAATTTCCTAACGTTCGCTGGTTCAGTACTGCTGCTATAGCTCCTGTCGCCTGTCTCAGATGCTGCATGTATGGCCAGCAACCACTGCCTCACTTCTTTCCAGCAACTCTGTTCTTCGTATCCTGCACCTTTTCCGATATCTTCTCCCGCGTGTCGCTCACTTTCTCCGATATCTTCTCACGTGTGTCGCTCACTTTCTCCGATATCTTCTCACGCGTGTCGCTCACTTTCTCCGATATCTTCTCACGCGTGTCGCTCACTTTCTCCGATATCTTCTCGCGAGTCTCGTCCATCTTGTCCTGCAGGAACTGCTTGACATTGGGTGGCGGTGGCGTATTGAGGATGCCACGCTTGCGCAGGTACTTGACGGTGTAGGAAGTGCCACCCAGCGTCACGGTGTAGCGCGCCGGCGTAGCGATCTGTGGGGATGGGCACACAGTACCCATTTTTAGATTGTTTTTACTGTGGCGGCAGCGGTGAGTAATTTGTTTCTGAGGGTTACGTGCAGAGCGTAATGCTGCGTGGCGTGTGGTGCAGGTCACCTTATAGAGTGCGTAGGCCGTGAGCAAGTTGCCTCCCTGTGAGCTGTGCAGGAGCTTGATGAACTTCTCAGGAAATCCTAGAGCCTCCAGCATGGGCAGCACGTTCACTCCCCTGCAAACAACAATGACCCCCCCCCCCCCACGTGGACTTTAACAGACAGGTGCTGTTATCGAGCACCGAAGGGGCTGTGTGGCGAGCGCGTGCCTGAACCATTCAACTCCCCTACATGCATATCCACACGTCATGTGATTATACTGCACTTGGGCAGCTCAAAAGTCGCTGGGTGCCCTTGAAAGTAAAAAAAAAATTCCACTGATTAAACTCAAAACCGAGTACCTTTCATCATTGTATAAAAGGATGTTTCTGCATAACTGCCACTGGTGGTGTCGTGCTGTCATTTTTTTACTATTCAATCCCCCCCTCCCCTTTCGGTTGTTTATCCGAGAGAAAGCTGCATCAAGTCAAGAATTTAGATGTTTGGAAAATCCTATTATTGAGCATTTAGTTTCATCTGGGCGGGAACTGGAGTACCCAGAGAAAGGACGGGTTGACATTCAGCACCAGCCAAGCACTGGTGGTCTCCCATTGTCACTCAACACCGCTTGTGAGATATGAGATCTGACTCGGGGCGATTTCTTCCGGCATGAAACCGTGAATGGGTAATTATGGATCAAATGCGTCCTGAACGCATTCATCCGAGGAGGGGGGGGGGGCTGCCACCCCACACCCCCAAGTTGTGTACCCGAGGGGCCTCACCTCATGGCCGCGTAGTAGAAGGATCCGAACCAGACGGCGGAGGTGACGAGATGGACAGGGATCATCACCTTGCCGTACTGCTTTAAGGTTTTCTTGAAGCGTGATATGAGGCCCATGGAGCGGTCCTGCAGAGGGTCGGTCTCGTCCGAGGGGGGCTGCGGGCTACCCTCAGTTTCCAAAGCCTTGGATCGCAGGGGACCCTTGCCCGTACCCTGCTGGGGGTCAGCGCCGCGCTGGGGGTCGACCTTGTCTTGGAGGGGGTCGACCTTGTCTTGCACGGAGTCGACCTTGTCTTGCACGGGGTCGACCTTGTCTTGCACGGGGTCGACCTTGTCTTGCAGGGGGTCGACCTTGTCTTGCAGGGGGTCGACTTTCCGCTGCTGGGGGTCTCGGCCAGGCGCACTGTGCAGTGCCGCGCTGCTCAAGCGGACGCGTGCGAGGAGCCGGGGCTGCGGGGATGCGGCGACCCAGAGGGCGGCAGAAGCGGGGCTCCGAGTGAGGCACGCGGGGCGGGGGCCGGGCAGGGAGGCGAAGTCCGAGTGGGGGGCCCTCGCCACCGTGAGCCGGCGGACGAGCGCCGCGGACCGCATGGCGGCGACGCGTTGGGTCCTCGCTAGGAGAAAGCGTGGCGTGACGGCCTCGGAGAGCGTGGCGGGAAGAGAGGCCTGCGGGGTGGAGAGGGATGCGTGAGACAAGGGATGGGAAGGGAGGGTAACGAGAGGGGCAAGAAGGTGTTTCGGCGTTAAAGGGTAAAAAAACAAATACGGCCGCATCTCTCCATAATGCACAACCATGCAATCGAAGACAGAGAACGAAAGAAGGGCTTGAGCCTAAACACGTGTATTGATTTTTACTCACATTGAGACTCACAGACCCATCGAAGGGTTTCTGTAAACCCGATAAATCCTTAGATTCAACAAAATTGAACTGATGCAATCTGGATGGATATCGCGTCTCAATTCGACCGCTGTCTCACTGGGGAAAGGAATTCCTGACTGGGAGCAGCAGACGTTGAATGAGCCCTGACTTCCCTCCCAAAGCCTGAGAGGCTGCTCATCATGCCCTGTGGCTCCCTCCCTGCCCCGTGGCTGCCCTCCCTGTCCCTTGCCACGCTGCCCACCATGCCCCGTGGCTGCCCTCCCCACGCTGCCCACCATGCCTCGTGGCTGCCCTCCCTGCCCCTCGCCACGCTGCCCACCATGCCCCGTGGCTGCCCTCCCTGCCCCTCGCCACGCTGCCCACCATGCACCGTGGCTGCCCTCCCCACGCTGCCCACCATGCCCCGTGGTTGCCCTCCCTGCCCCTCGCCACGCTGCCCACCATGCACCGTGGCTGCCCTCCCTGCCCCTCGCCACACTGCCCACCATGCACCGTGGCTGCCCAACATGCCCCGTGGCTGCCCACCATGCCCCGTGGCTGCTCATCATCCCCCGTGGCTGCCCACCATGCCCCGTAGCTGCCCTCCCTCCCTGCCTGCCCGGCCACGCTGCTGCCCGTCACCTGCAGCTGTCACGCGGGGCCCACGCCGCCATTCATTCCGTCGCTTCCGCAAGGTCACCGCGGCGGACGTGACGTCACGAACCTTTCCGGGGCGCGCGGCTCCACGGGGTAGTGACGTCATGACAACATCCGGGTGTGCGAGAGCACGTGGCGATCGAAGCCCTCGTTCGCAAGGGAGCGAATGAGAGTGAATGATGTTGTTGACACGACAGTGTGGAGAGTGAATGATGTTGTTAACAGTATATTGTGGAGAGTGAATTATGTTAACACTCTTGGAAAATGAATGAGTTTATTCACAACATTGAATGATAGAATGAGTTCATTCACACTTTTGTCAGAATGAGAGAATTCGTTCACACCTGAATAATTAAGAGAGTTAAAATACACGCGAGTGAATGACATTGAGTTAATTCTCAACACAATGGAAGCTAGAATGAGTTCACAAAATTAGAGAATGAGTTCATTCTCATTGCATGAATTATAATTATTTCTCACTGAATGCGAATGATTTAATCAACGAAACAAAAAACATCGCGAAATAACGATTTCATTCATTTATTCACAAATGAACAGGAGATACATTTTGAGAATTCACAAACGATCGGTAAGTCCATACCTTAATGAGCGCAAGAGTTGAATGAATTTAACAGAATTGTTTAACGTGTGTGAATGAGTTATGTACGCGTGAGTACATGAGCGAGCGAGGAAGTTGATTAATTATAATAAGGTTCGAGTCGTGCAACAGTACACGAATTAACAGTGAATGAGTTTAGCGAATGAATACTGTGTAATTTTATATTTTGCATCGTCGTTTATGCAAATTGCATCTCTACATCGCCGAGGAACCACAGAAAAGTGGGAAGGAAGCGGCAGCAACGCGGTGATCCGACACCACCATCAATTCTAGATTTAAAGCTTTCGTGACTGCAAGGATCCATACTCTTTGGTTCTATTGGGTAAAGTCACGTAGGTCGTGATCTGAGCGTGGCTTTTTTCACTCCAGCGCTGTCCTCCAGACAGTCTCGTCCCTTCACCTCATGAAGGCCGCTTGTGTTGTGGCCGAAACGTCGTGATTTTTATTTTTTACCTACGTGACTTTACCCAATACCACCATCAATTGCCCAAGCTCTGCACTCCTCGATATATGAAGGCATCGGCTAATTACATGTGGGAGGAAACAGCAGCACCCAGAGAAAACCCATGCGTGCGATGGAGAAACACTCTACCCCATACAGATAGAGCAGGTGGAGTCCACATCTTTGCTGTACTGCCTTTTGGCGAGCCAGGGTTATGGCTCCTTGACACCCACTGGATGGGATTTAGAACAGATGGAGATTAGTCCACGCATTGGAGTACCAGCTCCTGGCGGCCCACGGGAAGGGAATTTCGCAACATTTGCTGTGTGATCCACCACGTCTCGCTGATGCCTCCACAGGGATGGGTTCCAGGCAGCAGCCGCGCCCAGCGCAACAACCGCCTCCCGGCTAAATGTGAATGAGTTCACGGGTGCATGAGCTGGTGAAGGAGTGCACGAGCGAGCTGAATCATTTTCTTTATTATAATTGCAATTGTCCAGTAGTGCCTCCATAATGCACGAGGCAATGAATGAGCGAGACTTGAATGATAAATGACCGCATTTATGAGTTAATGGGTAACTGGGTAAATTCGTGAATGACTGAAGAGTGAATTGCTTAATAACTGAACGATTGAGTCATTGCATGGGTGAATAGTAAGTAAATGAATTAGTGAATGACTAATTTAATTAATGCACTTCCTTCTGCGAGACGGAACAGCACAGGGCTGTGTAGGGCCACCTCCCCTAGGCCGACTCAGCCTTAAACGAGTACCTAGTCCAGTGAGTCAACACGAGAGTTGGAGATACAAAGGCAGTCGGGCGTGGAGCTGACGACACTCTGACGGCACTACCCCCTTGAGTGCCGTGTTGGCCTTAATAGGTGTTCGCTAACAGCACTTTCCCCAATAGTCTGTTAAAGGCTATATGGGGGATCCTTGTCGATATTACTGTATGTGTGTGATGTGTGTATGTGCCGGTGTGACGTGTAACATGTGTGTGATGTGTGTATGTGCCGGTGTGACGTGTAACATGTGTGTGATGTGTAACATGTGTGTGATGTGTGTATGTGCCGGTGTGACGTGTAACATGTGTGTGATGTGTGTATGTGCCGGTGTGACGTGTAACATGTATGTGATGTGTAACATGTGTGTGATGTGTGTATGTGCCGGTGTGACGTGTAACATGTGTGTGATGTGTGTATGTGCCGGTGTGACGTGTAACATGTGTGTGATGTGCGTATGTGCCGGTGTGAAGTGTAACATGTGTGTGATGTGCGTGTACATGAGCCGGGTGACTATAACGCGACGCAAGTTGCCACAGTGGGGAGCAACAGAGGGCGTGCGTCTGGCAGTCATATCAGTCATCCAACCGATACCACCTGGGCCTGTCCCGTGACCTGCTGCACCTAGCCTCGCACATCCTGCGACCCATGGACACCTGGGTCTGTCCCGTGACCCCCCTGTCAGCAGGAGCGAACGAACTGTGACGGAAACCTTTGACAATTCGCTGCTCCCCGACAGCGAGTCTGCTATTGTGTGTGATGCGCGCGTCTGTGGATGGTGATGTTGTTGTTGATGTGGTCCTGTGGGTGCAAAGTCCTGGGTCAGCGTCTGGCCTTGGCGAGTGATGGGGGTCGAGCGCGTCTGGGTGCGGGGCTGTGTGGACTGGCCCGCGGGTGAGCGGCTGCTGGATTAGGATGGTTGGTTGGTTGATTTGTTCGGGGTGAGTGAATTGGTAAGACAGCATTTGGTTTGATGAGTGAGCCGTTGGGTTTGTGGTTGAGTGGGTAAGTCGGTGTTTGAGTGAGTGGGTGGTATAGTGGACGAGTCTGCGGTAAACTGGGTGAGTGGGTGGTTTGGTGGATGAGAGGGTGGGTTGTGGTTAGTGGATCAGTGGAAAGGTTGGTGACTGAGATTTTGGTTGGTAAGTAGGTGAGTGGTTGTGATGGTGAGTGGTTGGTTTGGTGAGTAGGTGAGTGGTTGTGATGGTGAGTGGTTGGGTTGGTGAGTAGGTGAGTGGTTGTGATGGTGAGTGGTTGGGTTGGTGAGTAGGTGAGTGGTTGCGATGGTGAGTGGTTTGGTTGGTGAGTAGGTGAATGGTTGGGATGGTGAGTGGTTGGGTTGGTGAGTAGGTGAGTGGTTGCGATGGTGAGTGGTTGGGTTGGTGAGTAGGTGAGTGGTTGCGATGGTGAGTGGTTGGGTTGGTGAGTAGGTGAGTGGTTGGGATGGTGAGTGGTTGGGTTGGTGAGTAGGTAATTGGTTGTGATGGTGAGTGGTTGGGTTGGTGAGTAGGTAATTGGTTGTGATGGTGAGTGGTTGGGTTGGTGAGTAGGTGAGTGGTTGCGATGGTGAGTGGTTGGGGTGGTGAGTAGGTGAGTGGTTGGGATGGTGAGTGGTTGGGGTGGTGAGTAGGTGAGTGGTTGGGATGGTGAGTGGTTGGGGTGGTGAGTAGGTGAGTGGTTGGGATGGTGAGTGGTTGGGTTGGTGAGTAGGTGAGTGGTTGGGATGGTGAGTGGTTGGGTTGGTGAGTAGGTGAGTGGTTGGGATGGTGAGTGGTTGGGTTGGTGAGTAGGTGAGTGGTTGTGATGGTGAGTGAGCGGTGGGGTTGCCAAGTGAGTGGATGAGTTGGTGGGCCAGTTGGGGTCGATTCGTCTGTTCTCGTGGCCCTCGTCTCCCTCTCCGTACCCCCACTCTTGGACGCACGGTACCCCCCCCCCCCCCCGTCTACCCCCCCCCCGTCGACCCCCTCCCTCCCACCGGCCCCCGTCACCGCCCGGCGCTGTAGCCTGGATCTCGTCGCTTCGAGCCAAAGGAATTTCCAATCGATCCTCGGCAACCACCGCTCCCTCTCCCCCTCCCCTACCCACCCCTCCCCTACCCACCCCTCCCCACCCCTCACCTCCCCACCCCTCCCCACCCCTCCCTCCCCTCCCCACCCCTCCCTCCCCTACCCACCCCTCCCCACCTTCCCCTCCCTCCCCTATCTCTTCAGTTGCGCCCCCTCCGCTCCCAGTCCCCCCTCCCACCTTTCCGCACCTCCGACTAATTCCTCTCGTCCCCAACATTGCTCCCGAGCTTCCTCCTTCACCATCTCTCCGTCTCCTTCACTCCGTCCTTCTCCCGTCCCGCTGCTCCCGATCACCCTCCTTCCATTCCTCCCTCCCACTCTTCCCCACACCCTCCCATCCAACTTGCCCCACATCCCCTCTCTCCTTCCTCACCGTTGATCCCCTCTACTCACTGCCCCCCCTCCCGCACCCCCAACTCATTCCTCTGCACCCCCGCGGGGAGGGGGGCGGGGGGGGGGGTCACGCGTGAGCGGGGCCCGGGTCCCCGGGGTCCGCAGTGCCGGCACGCGGCTCATCCAGACCGACGAGTTCCCCCTCCTCCTCCCGCACGCCGACGGCTCCACTGGCTCACTCTGACTACACTCACCACTCACCACCACTACACTTACT